ACCTAAAAACATGGACAATGGGAGAACAAAAAATACCCTGTGCTCTACAGATTCACTGAAATATTACACAAGAGGTAATATCAGTAAGTCAAATCTAAAAATACACCAACATGGATATCCTTAAAAAGTAGAATATAAAGTAGGGTTTTCCCCCTACTTTTCCTCCTCTGCTTTTTTTTTCAGCTAACCGCAAAGAAATATGTATAGCATGACACATACATGGTAAAAACTTCTAATATACCACAGGAAGAGATAATCAATTGTTGTAAAAGCAAAAAACCACAGGCAAAAAGCACAATATGAATCCCAAGAGAGCAGTTACCTTTGAAGAAGAGAAAGAAATGAGAGAGGGTACGAGGAACCAGTCTTTAGATATCTCTATAATAATTTGCTGCTTTTAATTATCTTTAAAAAACTACGCTTTCTAAGAAAAAAGACTGGAAAAGTGAAATTTTCTCTTATTTCCAGATAAAGATGAAAGTCTCCCTTAGCACTTAATTATAAGATTCTCCATATGCATTCATTCTCTTTCACCACGGACACCAACAGAGGCCTCCTCTGGGGCCCATTCTGAAGGGCTTCTGAAGGTGCTAGCACAATGCCAAAAAATTCCCAGGAAGGCCTGCCCAGACTGCAATATTTTCATGCAATGATTTGGATACATTTTCTAGGTGCACAAGTTTCAGCTCTGAACACCAATGAAAGCTAGGCAGTCCACAACTGGTTGGCAAAGACTCATGTCAGCCTGCAGGGTGAGAAACTAACAACACATGGGCTCTACACACAAATAAGAGAGCATACGTTCACTTTTAAAATGCAACCAGAAATCCAGGCCAAAAATCATTTTATCAAGAGCACAGAAATAAGAGACTGCAGTACTAACTAGTCCATAAAGACAAATATTACCATTACACTAAGGATTATGCAATAAGTATGCTTATAAGTAAAGACTAAGTTTAAAATCCCTTTACAAAAAATCCAAATTATCTATCAGAATCATTTCAATTCTCTTTCAGTTAGCCTGATACTGTGACCCAGTCATGCACTGTAGTTTCATAGCCAGGTATATGAATTTAGCTATGTGATAGAAGAATTTGCTTGCTATGACACATTCAGTGATTGTTCTTATCAATAAAAACTTTGTTCAAGAAAATCATCATTTTTAACACTAAACAGATTAGACTATTACAATCCTTTGGTCCAGTGTTAGCCTTTAACAGTTTCAAAATTAATCAAAGTCGAAAATTTGGACAGATTTCTGTCACCAAATGGCCTTCACTATTGTTCAGAGAATAAAACCCTTAATTGATTAATGATCTCAGGGTGTCTATCGCCATCTAGTGAACAATCACTTCAATTACCACACCAGTCACTTGACAACCCAATCCGTTGTCTTGGTGGTTTAAAATCTAAGTCCATGTAGTGCTATCAACTTGCCCAGTATCTTTTTTTGTCTCTCTATACATACATTGAGAACAAACACAAGTACAGGCGATATTTATCTTGATTCACTTTTGAGTGTCTATAAACTTAAGTTTCCATATTACAACACTGACTTCATTATTTTTAAATAACTTGCACGCTATGAGGTCTCTCATATAATTCTTTAACCATTAACTAATTCCTCTACCACCGAGCAATTAAAAATCATAGAAGAGCTTAAAGTGTGAAAAGATCACACCTGGGAAAAGACAATATTGATGTCCATTTGACACAACTATTAGCATTTTTATTATAAACCTGTTTATGAAAGTACAATTAGTAATTACCCTGAGTACTCTAGCAGCCATAATACATTTGATTACAGAAATTATTAGGTCACCAGAGCCAAAACTGCATGATTCCAACAAAACTGAGCACACACAAAACAGACTTAAAAACAAGAAGGGAATGGGGCTTACAGCCTCCCCAGATTGTGTATTAATCCATATTCAAGTGTAAAATTTTATAATCTTTTCAGATAACATACTACCACATCTCCTTCTCATTCATTTCCACTTGAACCTTAATCTAATTGATCCTACAACAACCTGAAAAGCAAACAACTTCTAAGATCTTCAGGTTACTGAATTATTTTGTCCATTCCATCTTCTTACAAAAAAGACAACTGTGATAAGTTACAAAGGTATTCCAAATTTCAGCCAACTGACTCTCATTTTATACTTCACCCCTCCTATCTCTTTAATAATCAAGAAACGTTCGAAATCAAAGGCCTAATAGTATATATGGAAAATGCTCGTAAACCCAAAGATCAACTACCACAGAGAATATTTCTATCCACCAGTGCTAATAATTATCACCAATACTTTAACAACCAGTTTTATTTTAGGAAATAATTTCTGTAGGTGGCTTTGAATCTTCTTCTAGAAAAGATCTCCAGGGAGCAACTGTGTAATTATTATTTCTCATTAACCTCACATTACTTTCAAGGCTGACTTTCCGCAGTTGTTATATTTTTTTTTATTTGTGAGAAGGAGCAAAGGGGAAAGAGACAAGGGGGAAAGGAGAAACCAAAAATTTAAATCACATACGATTATTTCTAGATTTGTTTGAAACTCTTTGCTTTTTAGTAGAGAGAGCAGAGGGGATTTTTTTTATAGTTTATTAAGATTTGTTACTGCTCTATTTTATACAACAAGAAAAATAAAAATTGAGTTTAAAGACCCTATTAAAGATCAAGCTAAACAAAAATACTGCCCTTAAAATACAATGGATTAGGGGAGTCGGGGAGATCGCTGGACAAATTTGGGGCTTATCATTATCAACAGTGCCCTTTTAAGCTTGTGGATTTCTGAGCCAATGCAGAAAATGTAACAACAGGGATTTCCCAACAGCAAGAGGCACTCTCCAAGGGAGTAAATTGTCAACTATTGCCTCTCGTGAGAAACTTAAGAGTAACCTTGATCCAATCTCAATAGTCAACCCATGTATTATCACCCAGTTGGGGCATAGTGAGTGCATTTCCTAATACAAAAATAAGATGGTATTCTATCAGAAGCCACTGGATACATACACAGAAATAAAATTTAAATAATTTTAAAGTAAACTTAGCCTAAGAAACTGAATACATCCTTCCCTCACTTCAACTAGCCCCTAAAATCCCTGTATCTTCCCATGTAAAAAAGGGCCTGTGTCTTGAGAGGAGTGTCAAAAAAGATGTCCTTCAAGGACTAAGAGGTAGAATAGAAAGCAGAAGCACAGTCATGAAAGACATGGTGAGATGGGGCAGACAAACCTACTGTGGTAGAAGCCTTACAATCAGGAAAAAATGGATTCCAATTCAAAACAGTTACTTACTATACTTCACCTCTTTGAGTCTCAGCTTCCCTGAGACTGCAAAAGGGGAATATTATGAACCATACCAATGGATTCTTAAGGAAGTAATTCATCTGGAAGCTTCTCACATATTGCTGGTGTTTAATACATGTTTTGCCCTTCCTCACTGTGCCCTAAGTCAAGTCTGTGAGATAGGGCTGTCAACAGAAGAGTGGCTCTGAACATCCTGTTTGTTTCATGCCAGCCAGATTGCCACTGACCAATACAGGAGCTACTAGCCACATGTGGATAATTAAAATTTAATTTATTTTAATTATAATTAAATTAAACTCAAAATCCAGTTCCTCCACAAGTCGACACTAGCCAGACAGCAAATGCTCACTCGCCTACTTGGGCCTACTGTATTATACAGAGAACATTTTCACCATCTCAAGGTCCACCAGACAGTGCTGGTCTAGACTCTAAAGGAGGGGTCAGGAAACGTGTTTCCTGAAATGGGAAAGATGGCTAATACTTTAGGCTTTGCAAGCCATGCAAGTCTCGACCCTGACTACTCAATTCTGCTATTGCAATGCAAAAGCAGCCACAGGCAAAACATAAATAAGTATGGCTGTGTTCCAATAAAACTGTATTCACAGAAATAGATGGCTGACTGGATTTAATCCATGGGCCATGGTTTTGCCAACCCCTATGCAAGAGGGTCTGACTTCAGACCCTCAAAATGAATATTCTGCCCATAACCATGAACTACTTCCTTAAGACTGAGTAGTCTCAAATCTACTGAGGGGAATCAATAGTTTACTGGAGTGAAATGGAATCTGGTATTTAACATAACTACTCTTTTACAAATTAAGAAAAACTCAAGCATGTGGGGTTAAAGCAGGTAAAGCTTACAGTGTTTACAACGTGACAGCATCTCAAAACTGTTTGGTACCTGACTCATCTTTCTAAAGCCAATAACTCTCAATCCGTAACTTCACTCCTCATCTATTCCTGGAATTGTGGACTTCTACATCAAACTATCTACTTAACATGCTTAGAGATCTATTACAAATCTCAAAGCCAAAAAAGAACTCCTAATCCCTCTCTCCCAGATTTCTCCATCTTAGTAAATGGCTCCATAAGCTAACCAGCCGTGAGACTAAAATGGAAGCATCTTCCTTGGTATCTTCCTTTCCCTCACACTCCAACCTGATAAAATCAGCAACCATACTAGCTCCCTTACGTCACTCATGTCACCTCCTAAAGAACTCTTCCCTGACCAATCTAAACTAGCCATCTTAACATTAAACTGGCCCACTACCCTGTTTTAATTATCTGAATAGCATTTACTTCTATCATATTCTTATTTTTTTGTATTTGTTTATCACTCATTTACAGTCTATTTTCCCAAACTACCCTCTCCCCAACCCAAGTCCCCACTGCATGCCACTCCACACCGCCTGCTCTACATAAAAATGTGACCCTCATGATGCAGGGGCATCTTATGTCTTGCACAACACTCTACCCCCATAACAATGCCTGGTACAGAGTAGACACTCAATAAATACTCTCTCTCAATGGATGAATGAACACATCCTTACTTAAAAAACTATCTGTCTCGAATTTGTCCTAAGAAAGGGGCATTTGAATCTATATAACTGGGCAACAAACTTGGCTCTCCCAGATTATAACAGGTCATAGTTAAAAAATAAACTCATCTTTAGAGATGTTCTATCATTTACCTCCCTTCCTTTGTATGTCACCAAAGCAGCCAGTGGTTTGGCGTAAAATCTGCTGTAGGAAAATCCCAGGCAGCCATACATACTGTTTGCTGTGAGCTTCAAAGCCTTCTGTCGAATGTCATACTGCAGGTCACACAAGGACAAAAGACAACAATATTTGTAGATGCTTAATCATTACATTAGATATCTTTTTATATCACCAAAGAAAAGGAGAAACCCTCAATATCCCTGAAAAAAAAAAGACCTGTCAACACACTCAACCCATCCTCCCAGATCCATGATTCCCTGATCTTCTAGAAGCAAGTAAACACAGATTCCAAAGCTCCCAGAAGTCAGAAGGATTTTGTTCAGATACAGCTTTGCAGACAGAGATATCTTCCATTCTGAGGCATTCTAATGGTTTTTTAATGGTTTCCTGCCCACAAACTTAAAATAAGCCCATGTAATTACCCACAGCATCATGTTTAAATCATTCCCAGATAATCAAAGTCTGAAAGCTGAGACTGTCACTTAGATGTCTCTTAGTAAAAAGATATACCTGAAGAACAAGGTCTGGATTTAAGTCTTGCTGTTTCATTAGTTGTTTGACTTGTTTTCTCCTCTCTACCAGCTTCCGGATCTCTCTGGGCAAAATGCCCATTTCTAAGTTTGGGTCTGGCAGCTCAGGAATCTGTTCTTGTTCTCCATCCTGATGAACACACAACAGAAATTTCAGACAAATCAAACTATCATAAAAGAGATTTCTAAAATAATATTTTGTGGGAGCTTTACGTGATGATTAAATCTTGAAAAGCTACTTTCCTGTTTAAGCATAGGTCAACAATACGTGGGTGGGAGAAGAAAAAGTGGAGAACAAGTCAACAATGGCCTCTTCTCCCACTTCTATCATCCTCATTCCCAGTATCTCCACCCCTCTCATTACTGATTAATGTAGATGTCATTTAAAGGGATCAATTTTTATATATACTCTGTTCTCTTCAACAAGATTGGGGAGCAACATATTTGGAGAAACTGTTTCTAAAATAAAAACACTGACACCTCTAGGATTTAAAAAAATGCAAGCTAACTACAGTTTTAAGTCAAATGTACTCTCAAGCAAAATGCCATAAAACTTTTACAACTATGGAGAATTGTGGCAATTACTGTAAATGTTCTACAATAAAAACTAAAACCCTAAATACTAAATCAGCAAATTTCTGATTTTCGAAAAGTAACCAGCAGTCTTCTTATACTAAATTTATAGAAGCAAAAAGCAAGGAAAGCATTAGACCATTTTTCTGAAGCTCTATTAATTCTATTAACAGGCCACAGTGAAAAGCCAGGCATGTTTGCCCCTTCAAAGGTTCAGAATTTAAAATAAACGCCTTGCCTTCAAGTATATTAACTCAACGCCTTTTGATAACCCAGCCTTTACAAAGTATCTGATTTTATAAAGATCAATATTTTCAAATGAACAATCTTAAAATAGTAACAGGGACCTATTGTTTTCCAATACAGCAGATGACGATAGCAAACCTATTAAAGAGATCTTGGTACACATTCCAATTTATTTATAACAGCTAGAGAGGTCAGATAAAAAGTTAACTGAAAGGATCTGGAGTCAGGAAGTTTACAATCCATGCCCAGCTCTCCCACCACTAGCTGTGTGGCACTAGCTATTTTGAAGAGCAAATGAGATACTACACAGAAAAATGGTACAGAATCTATAAACTGGCTACATGTATAGTATTTCTTAGGTGACCTTTAAGGTCCATTCCAACTCTTAAATGATTCTTATATCCAGAATCCAAACTGGAAAGCTCAAATAAACAAACCAGTACAGTGGGATTCAGGAGGCTGGATCATGACAATTATCACAAGGCTGACACAGTAGCAGGACAGAGCCCTATGAATATTATTTATCCAATGTAGTCACTACCTTTTGGGGATGTCTACCCAATACCTTCTCTGGACAATTATCCTCTACTACCACAGAAAGACCCATCCTTGGCAACTGTATTTGTACTCTGTAAACCCACTCCTGTGGTCACAGCTGATGGGAACAGGTATTTATCACTGGCCTAATAAGCAAGCCTTTAAGATTCTCTCCTCTAGGAAGACAGAACTAGGGCTGGAAAACAGCTCCCAAAGCATGTAGTTAGAATTAAAAGACATGTAAAATCAGAAGCAAGAGGACAGACATCTTTGGCCACATGTACAAAGAAACAGAGAAAAACAATACAGAGAGATAGCATATTACTTTACATCTTTTCCTGTTGGAGAACCACATCTACCAGCAGTCAATCATATCAGCCTTATATATGAAGAACCACACATTAAGTTATCAAATCCTATGTAAAATTGTTGACTAATCACTGGTTAGATTAAATCAATGTGAAATAATTCAAAGCCATTCTTTTAAAAAGGCTATTTGTGTGCTCGCTTTGGCAGCACATATACTAAAATTGGAACGATACAGAGAAGATTAGCATGGCCCTTGCGCAAGGATGACATGCAAATTCGTGAAGCGTTCCATATTTTTTTTTAAAAGGCTGCTTGTGAGTACAATCAGTAACAAAGCTTTGCGTGACCAAAATTTAGAAGAATTTAAAATATAAAATTTAAAAGAATAAAAATAGCAAGTGTTCAAGATGATGTGGAATGACTTACAGTCATGGCTAGTGGGGGTGTGTAACACGGTATAACTACTTAGGAAAATAATTTGGCAGTTTCTTTTCGGTTAAACATCCACTCCTGATACAAACCAGCAAATTCCCTCCCTAGGTATTTATCCCCCAAAAATGAAAGGACATGTTCACAAAAACACATGAACAAGAATGTTCACAGCTTTATTAATAAAAGCTAACCTCAACAGGACACCTGGATGGCTCAGTCAGTTAAGGGTCCAACACTTGATTTCAGCTCAGGTCATGATCTCTCATGGGTCCTGGGATCAAGCCCTGAATCAGGCTGAGCTCAGCAGGGAGTCGGCTTGAAGATTCTCTCCCTCTACCCCTACCCCCCTGCTCACTTGCTCTTGCTCTCTCTCTCTCTCTCTCTCTCTCTCTCAAATAAATAAATAAATAAATAAATAAATAAATCTTTTCAAAAATAATAACTAAACACTGAAAATCCAAATGCTCATCTCAGGAAACCAGATAAAGTGTGGAATACTTCTCAGCAATACAAAGGAAAGAACTACTAATAATGCAACAGCATGGATGAATCTCAAAAACATTACACTAAACAAAAAGCCAAATCCAAAAGAGTACATACTGGATGGCTCCACTTATATGAAGTTCTAGAAGAATCAAAACTAAGCGATGGTGATGGAAATCAGATCACTGGTTGACTGATGGGAGAGGGGCCTGATAATAAAGGTGCAATGACATACCAAAACGAATGGGATGAAACTAACATAATCCTTGCAGGGAAATTTATAACTGTAAATATCTATATTAACAGAAAAGATCTCAAATCAATAACCTAACTTTCCACCTTAAGAAAGTAGAAAAATAAAGGTAAACTAAATCAAGAAAGCAGAAAAAAGGAATAAAGATTAGAATGGAAATATAGAACAGAGAGAAAAATCACCAAAATCAAAGTTCCTGCTTTGTAAAGTTCAGCAAAACTAACGAACTTTTAGCTGTGCTGACAAAAAAAAATGACTCAAATTACTAAAATCAGGAATAAGAGGGATATTAGTAATGATCTTAAAGAAATAGTTATAAGTGAATAGTTTGAACAATTTTATACCAACAAATTAGATAACCTTACATTAAACAGACAAATTCCTAGAAAGACACAAACTACCAAAATGGACTCAAGGAAAAATAAAAAACCTGAATAGACCTATAACAAAGATTGAATTGGAAATTAAAAAAAAAAGACAAGCCTTACGACCAGTTAATTTCACTAGTGAATTCTACCAAATATTTAAAGCAGAATTAACATTAATCCCTCACAAATTTTCCAAAAAAAAAAAAACCCAAAAAAACAAAAAACCAGAAGAGGAAGGAACACTTCCCAGCTCATTCTATGAGGACAGTATTATTTTAATACCAAAACCAGGCAAAGACAAAACAAGAAAAGATAGCTATACATCAAAGCCCTTATGAATACAAGCAAAAAACTCTTCAACAAAATACTAGCAAACTGAATCCAGAAGCATTCAAAAAGGATTATACACCAAGACCAATTGTAACTTATCCCAAGAACACAGGCTGGTTCAACACATGAAAATCAATGTCATTTACCATATTAAAAGAATAAAGGATAAAAAGTACACGATCATCTCAATATATAAAGAAAAAGTGGTTGACAGAATCCAACACCCTTTCATGATAAAAAACATGCAACAAACCAGGAACAGAAGGGAACTTCCACAATCTGATAAATACAATCTATGGAAAACCCTTAGTTAACATCATACTTAATGGTGAAATAAAGACTGGATGTTTTCCCCCTGAGACCAGGAACAAGACAAGGGTGTCTGCTCTTGCCAATTTTATTCAATATTATACTGAAGGTTCCAGCCAGGGCAGTTAGATGACAACCCAGCCCCCAAAAAAGAAGAAATATAAGGCCTCCAGATTACAAAGAAAGAATTAAAACTGGGGTGCCTGGGTGGCTCAGTGGGTTAAGCCTCTGCCTCCGGCTCAGGTCATGATCTCAGGGTCCTGGGATCGAGCCCCACATCGGGCTCTCTGCTCAGTGAGGAGCCTGCTTCCCCCTTTCTCTCTGCCTGCTGCTCTGCCTAGTTGTGATCTCTCTCTCTCTGCATCAAATAAATAAAATCTTAAAAGAAAAGAATTAAAACTACCTCTATTGGCAGATAACATGATACTATATGTAGAAAGTCCTAAGGAAAAATCCTAAGGAATCCACAAAAATACTAGAAGTGATAAATGACTTCAGCAAGGTTGCAGCACACAAGATCAATATACAGAAATCAGTTATATTTCAGTACACTAGCAATGAATAATCCAAAAGTAAAGAAAACAGTTATACTTAAAATATCATCAAAAAGATGACATATTTAGGAATAAACTTAATAAAAGAATTTTACTGTGAACTTTCAGCAAAAAAATAGGAATGAAGTACTAATACCTGCTACAACACAGATGAATCTTGAAAACAGTAATGCTAAAGTGCTATAGCTACTTTGAAAAGCAGTATGGAGGTTCCTCAGAAAGTTAAAAATAGAGCTACCCTACGACCTAGCAAGTGTACTACCAAGTACTTACCAAGGGATACACAAATACTCATTCAAAGAGGCACATGCACCCTGATGTTTACAGCAGCACTATCAACAATAGTCAAACTATAGAAAGAGCCCAAGTGCCCATCCACTGAGGAATGGATAAAGAGGATGTGGTCTATATACACAATGGGATATTATTAACCATCAAAAGAATGAAATCTTGCCATTTGCAACAATGTGGATGGAGTTACAGTGTATTATGCTAAGGGAAATAAGTCACGCAGAGAAAGACAAATACCATATGATTTCACTCATATGTGGAATTTAAGAAACAAAACAGATGAACATGGGGGAAAAAAGGGGCAAACCAGAAAAGAGACTCTTAACTATAGACAACAAACTTAGGGTTGCTGGAAGGTAGGTGGGCAGGGGCTGGTCTAGATGGGTATTAAGGAATGCACTTGTGTTGAACACCGGAGGTTGTATGTAAGTGATGAATAACTAAATTCTACTCCTGAAACCCATATTATACCATATGTTAACTAGAACTTAAATAAAAATTTGAAAAAAGGAAGGAGGCACCTGGGTGGCTCAGTGGACTAAGCCTCTGCCTTTGGCTCGGGTCATGATCTCAGGGTCCTGGGGTCAAGCCCCGCATCGGGCTCTCTGCTCAGCAAGGAGGCTGCTTCCCCCCACCCCTCTCTCTGCCTGCCTCTCTGCCTACTTGTGATCTCTCTCTGTCATATGAATAAATAAAATCTTTAAAAATTTTTGAAAAAAAAAAAAACACAATATGCTAAGTGAAATAAGCCAGACACAAAAGGTCACGTGATTCCAGTTACAAGAAACGTCCAAAATACACAGATCTATAGAGGCAGAAAAATTGGTGGTTGCCAAGGACTGGGAGGAATGGAGGGACAAGAAGGAGGGTACAACTAAAAGGTAGGGTTTCTTTGAAGAATAATGGAAATGCCCTCAAATTGACTGTGGTGAAGGTTGCAAATTCAGTGACTGCACTAAAAGCCTTTAAAGTGTGTACTTTAAATGGATGAAATGTATGTGAATTACATCTCAATAAAATTGTTAAAATAAAAAGGTATAGAAACACTGTGAGTTTCCATCTATTCAACCTCTCCCTTTTTGATCACTTTTTGACCTTTAGACCACTAAGAAAGGAAAAATTATATACTTAAGAGGAAAAACTAGAACACTAACCCCTCTGGTTCTCTTTCTTCTTTAAGCACTGCTTTTAATTTCAATTTGAAGAGGCCTCAAATGAATACAAACCTCTGTAATTTTCTGTGTCTCTGAAGCAACTCTTTGCACTGTTGTAAAACAAATGTTGAACTCTTGAATGATGGAAGGATACAAACTGTTGAAGTCCAGGAGCAAAATAAACTTATCATAAAAACCTGCAACAAAAAAGCCACGTTACAAAAAGTCTTTTTTAAAAAAGCAGATGGGAGAGGGGTAAAAAAAAAAAAAGGCAGATTTGTCAAAACACAACATTAGAAGTACTGTACAATGAAGTATATTAGAAATGATACACTGGCAAAAGGAGCAGCTTATACCAAAGGAAAAAAGTCATCAACTATCACTCCATAAAAATGCCTTGTATTACAGTAAAAACTCAAGTCACAAAAGAGGAAAGAAGACAATGTGTCTCACCTTGAAACCAACTACAACAAATGATCCTTTCCACAGCAGTCTCCAAGTACACCCTTATGATGGGCAAACACCTTCTCCTATCAATTACTTCAGATACTCATATCTGAAGTGTTGTAAAATTCTCCTTCAGGCAAGTATTCCCTCCCACCTACCGTGCCACCTTGACCCCCAAAATGTTTAGTGATCCATACCAGTGAGTAGTTGGATATATATTTTTTTTACCATCATACTTTCATTTTTTAAAGATTTTATTTACTTATTTGACAGAGAGAGAGAGAGAGACAGTGAGAGAGGGAATACAAGCATGGGGATCAGCAGAGGGAGAGGGAGAAGCAGACTCCCTGCTGAGCAAGGAGCCTGATGTGGGGCTTGAGCACAGGACCCTGGGATCATGACCTGAGCTGAAGATGGACGCTTAACGACTGAGCCACCCAGGTGCCCCACCACCATACTTCCCAAGAATAAAATGGGAAGCCCACTCACCTGTACACAAATGGTGTTGAAAGCAGACAAGAGATGTGTGAATATATATAAATGTCAGTAGTGGAACGATCCACCCTTTTTACTTGCAAAGGGTGAACAGAAAGCTACTGTATTTCTCTAGGACATTTATAAAGAGTTATCTTCACCTTAAGAAGAAACTGTATAAAAATAAATGTCCACTATTAAGAACATAAAAACAACAACAAATAAATACTGATAGCATACTCTGTGTCAAGCACTATACTAAACAATCACTTTGTTCCTTAAGTCTCTGTGTGGTAGATACTCTTTTATTTTTATTTTTTTAAAAGATTTTATTTATTTATTTGAGAGAGAGAATGAGAGAAAGAACATGAGAGGGGAGAAGGTCAGAGGAAGAAGCAGACTCCCTGCTGAGCAGGGAGCCTGATGCGGGACTCAATCCCAGGACTCCAGGATCATGACATGAGCCGAAGGCAGTTGCTTAACCAACTGAGACACCCAGATGCACCAATACTTTTTTTTAAAGTCTAGTGTAGTTAACATACAGTGCTACATTAATAAAGAGTAGATATTATTCCTACCTCCACTTCAGAGAAGAGGAAAGGCAGGCTTACAAAAGTTCAAGAGGAATCCCAAGATCACACAGGCAGAATTTAAGCCCAGATCTATCTAATACCAAAGGACTATTGATCTGTTTCAATACAACTAGTAATAAATTCACTTTTGTCAAAAACGTCTCCGACATAGAGTTCAAGTTAGCTGATAAAATTCCATTTTTCCTGTACAACAATGTAAATATACTTAGCACTCCTTAACTATATCCTTAAAAATAGTTAAGAGGGATAAAAAGAAAAAGATCCTTTCTAACTCTGTGTACCACAAAACATCTTCTTTGCCATTAATGACAAGGGGGAGTACTCTCCTGTTCAAAAGTTCAATTTGGTGATTACTGCCTGTACTTTCTTGAACTCTGCTGTCCACATGAACTGGTCCTGGCAGCTCAGGCAGAGGCAGAGCCCACCCTCTACAGCAGATGCGAGAAGACAAAGACAAAGAGCTATATACTGGACTAGGTGTTTCCAAACTACACAGAGACCGAACCCAGCCTACCCCCTCTTTTTGTGCCATGCATGAGCCAAGAACTGTGTTTACATGTCTAAGTGCTTGAAAAAAACTTTAAGAAAGAGTACCTCATGATACATGAAAATTACACAAGATTTGAAATTCGATATCCACAAACAAAGCTTTCTTGGAACATAGGGGAAAAAAAAGATTTGGATTGAGGACGGAGGTAAGATGGCGGAGGAGTAGCAGACTGAAATGACAGCAGATCCTAGGACTTCAGACAGATAGTTATCAAACCATTCCGAACACCTACAAACTCAACAGGAGAAAGAAGAGAAGAGCAGCAATTCTATGAACAGAAAATCGACCACTTCCTGAAAGGTAGGACGTGTGGAGAAGTGAATCCGAAGCAAGGGGAAGATAGACCACGGTGGGGGGGGGCCGGCTCCCAGGAAGCGGCGAAGAACAAAATCGGAACCTTTAGAAGTCTGCTCCACTGAGGGACATGGATCCAGAGGCTAAGCGGGCGGTAGAGCTCTCACGGGGATGCTGTGGTCTCAGGTCCAGCAGGGTCACAGAAGGTCTGGGGGTGTGAGCATAGCAGAGCTGCTAGGTGTCGGAGAGGGGAAGATGACTACAGAGACAGAGCCAAGGAGTGAGCTCTTACCTTGGGGTTACCTTAAACTGTGCTCCATGGCACAGTCCGGTCCCTGCGCTTTGAGCAGGGACCCCACAAGTGGCAAAATCGGGGAGACTCACCTTCCTCCTCTGGAAAGAGCAGCGCAGCAAAAATCCGCCGGGTTTGGACACTCCAAATGGGGCCGTGAGCCAGAGATAGAAATGCTTAGTCACAGGTCATGTGAGCTCGGAGTGCGTCCAGAGACCAAGGAGATGGGAGGGATTGACTGCTTATTTCTGAGGTCACAATGAGGAATGGGGCCTGAGCTCTCGGCTACTCCAGGCCGGAGACTGGGAGGCCGCCATTTTAATTCCTGTCCTCCAGAGCTCTACGGAAAGCATTCCAGAAACAGAAGCTCCCGAGAGCAAACTGGAGCAGGTTACTTAGCCCAGCCCCTGGCAAGGGCAGTGTAATTCCGCCTCAGGCAAAGACATTTGCGAATGACTGCAATAGGCCCCTCCCTCAGAAGGTCAGCAAGAACATCCAGCCAAGACCAACCTCACCTACCAGGGAGAGAGCAGAACTCCAGAGCTAGAGGAAACATAGAATTCATGCCTTTTCCCCACGATCCTTTAGTCTTGCAAAGTTAATTTTTTTTATTTTATTTTTTTCTTATTCTATTTTGATAACTTTTCCTCTTTCCTCTTTTAATGTTTTTTAACTAGTTTATCTTAACAATAGCTTTCTAAAAAAAATCTTTTTAAACCTTGTTATAGTCATATTTTATTCCTTCATTGTATTTAACCTTATTTTTTGTATAGGTGTTTTTTTTTTCCTAAAAAATTTTGGGATTTCTTCTAATACATCAAAATATACCTTAATATAGCACATGGCTTTGTTCTAGTCTCCAGCCTGAGCACATTTCCTCCTCTTTTTTTTTCCTTTTTCCAACCACCTTATCAATTCCTTTTTTAAAAATTTTTAAATTTTCATCCTTACAGTCATATTCCATCTCTTCACCATGTTTACCCTTATTTTCACATATATCTAAGTTTTTCTTTCTTTAAAATTTTGGGAGGTAGTTTCCCCTAAAAGACCAAAATACACCCAAAATCAAGTGGGTGGCTCTGTTCTAGTCACCAGTCTAATTTATATATTTTTTTTCTTTTTACTTTTTTTTTTCCTTTCTTCTCCCCCCAGTTTTGGGTCTCTCTGATTTGGTTAGCATACATTTTCCTGGGGTCTTGGCCACCCTTTTAGTATTTTATTCTCTCATTCATATATCTTATCTGGATAAAACGACAAGGTGGAAAAACTCACCGCAAAAAAAAAGAACAAGAGGTAGTACCAACGGCTAGGGACCTAATCAATACGGACAATGGTAATATGTCAGAACTAGAATTCAGAACAACAATTCTCAAGGTGCTACCTGGGCTCGAAAAAACCATGCAAGATATTAGAGAAACCCTTTCAGGAGAAATAAAATCCCTTTCTGGAGAAATAAAATAACTAAAATCTAAGCCAGCTGAAATAAAAAAAAGCTATTAATGAGGTTCAAGAAAAAATGGACGCCCGTGCTGCTAGGATAAATGAAACAGAAGAGAGAATTAGTGATACAGAAGACCAAATGACCGAGAATAAAGAACCTGAACAAAAGAGAGACAAACAACTACAGGACCACAAGAGGAGAATTCGAGAGATAAGTGATACCATAAGATGAAACACTATTAGAAAAATTGGGATTCCAGAAGAAGAGAGAGGGGGCAGAATGTATATTGGAGCGAATTATAGTAGAGAATTTCCCTAATATGGCACAGGGAACAAACATCAAAATCCAGGAGACACAGAGAACCCCCCTCAAAATCAATAAAAATAGGTCCACACCCAGTCATCTAACAGTAAAACTTACAAGTCTTAGTGACAAAGAGAAAATCCTGAAGCAGCTCGGGACAAGAAGTCTTTAACATATGATGGCAGAAATATTAGATTGGCACCAGACTTATCCACAGAGACCTGGCAGGCCAGAAAGAACTGGCATGATATATTCAGAGCACTAAATGAGAAAAATATGCAGCCAAGAATACTATATCCAGCTAGGCTATCATTGAAAATAGAAGGAGAGATAAAAAGCTCCCAAGACAAACAAAAACTAAAGGACTTTGCAAACAACAAACCAGCCCTACAGAAAATACTGAAAGGGGTCCTCTAAGCAAAGAGAGAAGCCTAAAAGTAGTAGACCAGAAAGGAAGAGAGACAATACACAGTAACAGTCAACTTACAGGAAATACAATGACACTAAATTAATATCTTTCAATAGTTACCCGGAATGTAAATGGGCTAAATGCCCCAATCGAAAGACACATGGTGTCAGAATGGATAAAAAAACGAAAGCCATTAATATGCTGTCTGCAAGAAACTCATTTTAGACCCAAAGACACCTTCAGATTTAAAGTGAGGGGGTGGAAAACAATTTACCATGCTAATGGACATCAAAAGAAAGCTGGGGTGGCAAGCCTTATATCCGGTAAATTAGATTTTAAGCCAAAGACTATAATAAGAGATGAGGAAAGGCACTATATCATACTCAAAGGGTCTGTCCAACAAGATCTAACCATTTTAAATATCTATGCCCTAACATGGGAGCAGCCAACTATACAAACCAATTAATAACAAAATCAAAAAAAAACATTGATAGTAATACAATAGTAGTAGGGGACATTAACACCCACCCTCACTAAAATGGACAGATCATCTAAGCAAAAGATCAACTAGGAAATAAAGGCCTTAAATGACACACTGGACCACATGGACATCACAGATATACTCAGAACATTTCATCCCAAAGCAACTGGATACACATTCTTCTCTAGGGCACAAGTAACATTCTCCAGAATAGATTATATCCTGGGTCACAAATCAGGTTTCAACTGGTACCAAAAGACTGGGATCATTCCCTTCATATTTTTAGACCACAGTGCTCTGAAGCTAGAACCAATCATTAGAGAAAGTTGGAAAGAACTCAAATACATGGAGGCCAAAGAGCATCCTACTAAAGAATAAATGGGTCAACCAGGAAATTAAAGAAGAATTAAAAAAATTCATGGAAATAAAAGAAAATGAAAACACAACCATTCAAAATCTGTGGGACACAGCAAGACAGTCCTGAGAGGAAAGTGATACAGCCTTTCTCAAGAAACAAGAAAGGTCTCAAGTACACAACCTAACCCTACACCTAAAGGAGCTGGAGAAAGAACAGCAAAGAAAACCTAAACCTAGCAGGAGAAGAGAAATAATAAAGATCAGAGCAGAAATCAATGAAATTAAAACAAAAAAAAACCAGTAGAACAGATCAACGAAACTAGGAGCTGGTTCTCTGAAAGAATTAATAAGATTGATAAACCCCTGGCCAGACTTATCAAAAAGAAAAGAGAAAGGACCCAAATAAATAAAATCATGAATGAAAGAGAAGAGATCAAAACCAACACCAAGGAAACACAAACAATTATAAAAACATATTAAGAGCAACTATATGCCAGCAAATTTGACAATCTAGAATTCCTAGAGATGTACAAACTACCAAAACTGAACCAGGAAGAAACAGAAAACCTGAACAGACCCATAACCAGTAAGGAGATTGAAGCAGTCTTCAAAAATCTCCCAAAAAACAAGAGCTAGGGCCAGATACCTTCCCGGGGGAATTCTACCAAACATTTAAAGAACAATTAATATCTATTCTCCTGAAACTATTCCAAAAAATAGAAATGGAAGAAAAACTTCCAAACTCATTTTATGAGCCCAGCATTACCTTGATCCCAAAACCAGACAAAGACCCCACCAAAAAGGAGAATAACAGACCAATATCCTTGGTGAACACAGATGCGAAAATTCTTACCAAAATACTAGCCAATAGGATCCAACAGTACATTAAAAGCATTATTCACCACGACCAAGTGGGATTTATTCCTGGGCTGCAAGGTTGGTTCAACATCCACAAATCAATCAATGTGATACAATACTTAATAAAAGAATAAGAACCACATGATACTCCCAATAGATGCAGGAAAAGCATTTGACAAAGTACAACATCCTTTCTTGATCAAAACCCTTCAAAGTGCAGGGATAGAGGGTACATACCTCAATATCATCAAAGCCATCTATGAAAAACCTACACCAAGTATCATTCTCAATGTGGAAAAACTGATAGCTTTTCCCCTAAGGTCAGGAACACAGCAGGGATGTCCACTATCACCACTGCTATTCAACACAGTACTAGAAGTGCTAGCCTCAGCAATCGGACAACAAAAAGAAATTAAAGGCATCCGAATCAGCAAAGAAGTCAAACTCTCACTCTTTGCAGATGGTATGATACTTTATGTAGAAAACCCAAAAGACTCCACTCCAAATCTGCTAGAACTTGTACAGGAATTCAGTAAAGTGTCAGGATATAAAATCAATGCACAGAAATCAGTTGCATTTCTATACACCAACAGCAAGACAGAAGAAAGAGAAATTAAGGAGTCAATCCCATTTACAACTGCATCCAAAACCATAAGACAACTAGGAATAAACCTAACCAAAGAGGCAAAGAATTTGTACTCAGAAAACTATTAAGTACTCATGAAAGAAACGGAGGATGAAACAAAGAATTGGAAAAACATTCCATGCTCATGGACTGGAAGAACAAATACTGTGAAAAGGTCTATGCTACCTAAAGCAATCTACATATTTAATGCAATCCCTATCAAAATACGCATCAATTTTTCTTCAAAGAAATGGAACAAATAATCCTGAAATTTATATGGAACCATAAAAGACCCCTAATAGCCACACGAATGTTGAAAAAGCCAACGTTGGTGGCATCACAATTCCGGACTTCAAGCTCTATGACAAAGCTGTCATCATCAAGACAGCATGGTACTGGCACAAAAACAGACACACAGATCAATGGAACAGAACAGAGAGCCGCGAAATAGACCCTCAACTCTATGGTCAACTAATTTTCGGCAAAGCAGGAAAGAATGTCCAATGGAAAAAAGACAGCCTCTTCAACAAATGGTGTTGGGAAAATCGGACAGCCACAAGCAAAAGAATGAAACTGAACCATTTCCTTACACCACACACAAAAATAGACTCAAAATGGATGAAAGGCCTCGATGTGAGATAGGAATCCATCAAAATCTTTGAAGAGAACACAGGCAGCAACCTCTTCCACCTCAGATGCAGCCACTTCTTCCTAGAAACATCGACAATGGCAAGGGAAGCAAGGGCAAAAATGAACTACCGGGACTTCATTAAGATCAAAAGCTTTTGCAGAGCAGAGGAAACAGTCAACGAAACCAAAAGACAACTGACAGAATGGAAAAGATATTCGCAAATGACATATCAGACAAAGGGCCAGTATCCAAAATCTATAAAGAACTTATCAAACTCAAAACCCAAAGAACAAATAATCCAATCAAAAAATGGGCAGAGGACATGAACAGACATTTCGGCAAAGAAGACATCCAGATGGCCAATAGGCACATGAAAAAATGCTCCACATCACTTGGCATCAGGGAAATACAAATCAAAACCACAATGAGATACCACCTCACACCAGTCAGAATGGCTAAAATTAACAAGTCAGGAAACAACAGATGTTGGAGAGGATGTGTAGAAAGGGGAACCCTCCTACACTGTTGGTGGGAATGCATGTTGGTGCAGCCACTCTGGAAAACAGCATGGAGTTTCCTCAAAAAGTTGAAAACAGAGCTACCCTATGACCCAGCAATTGCACTACTGGGTATTTACCCTAAAGATACAAATGTAGTGATCAAAAGGGGCACGTGCACCCAAGTATTTATAAGAGCAATGTCCACAATAGCCAAACTATGGAAAGAACCTAGATGTCCATCAACTGATGAATGGATAAAGAAGAAGTGGTGTACACACACACACAAACACACACACACACACACACACACACACACTGGAATACTATGAAGCCATCAAAAGAAATGAAATCTTACCATTTGCAATGATGTGAATGGAACTAGAGGGTATTATGCTGAGCGAAATAAGTCATTGAGAGAAAGGCAATTATCATATGATCTCCCTGATATGAGGAATTTGAGAGGCAGAGTGAAGGTTTTGGTGGTAGGGAAGGAAAAAATGAAACAAGATGGGATCAGGAGGGAGACAAACCATTAGAGACTCTTTTTTTTTTAAGATTTTATTTATTTATTTGACAGACAGAGATCACAAGTAGGCTGAGAGGCAGGCAGAGAGAGAGAGAGGTGGAAGCAGGTTCACCACTGAGCAGAGAGCCCGATGAGGGGCTCGATCCCAGGACCCTGGGATCATGACCTGAGCCAAAGGCAGAGGCTTTAACCCACTGAGCCACCCAGGCGCCCCACCATTAGAGACTCTTAATCTCACAAAACAAACAGAGGGTTGCTGGGGGGGTTGTGTGCAAAGGGTGGTGGGTTATGGACACTGGGGAGGGTATGTGATATGGTGAGTGCTGTGAAGTATGTAAGCCTGACAATTCACAGACCTGTACCCCTGGGGCAAATAATACATTATATGTTAATAAAATAATGAATAAAAAAAGTTTCGTATTAATTCATGTCAGGTGACTGGCCAACAAGATTTTCACATGAACAGAAGACAAAAATAAGGTCAAAACAAGACCTATTTGCTAACCTACAAAATACAATTCAGGTCTTGGAGTTTCTCAAGCCTAGGTCTGCCTTAAAAAATTCCTTAACACCAGAGGAACCCCACCTGCTGCACAGCCTTACCAGCTTTGGGGTCCAATACCAAGCCTCCAGCATAAGCTGCTTTCTTACGTCCTTTCTTGTATTTATTGGCATCTCCATCTATGTCTTCATCTTCATCTCCCTAATATCAAATGGAAAAGTTACTTCACCAGCCAGCAACTAATTAACTAATTAAGAAGTTTTATGATTCCCCCCTTTCCAACTGCAGTACACAACTCTAACAAAGATTCTTTAGTTTTAGCTAGTGGTCCTACCTGTGGGGAACAACAGTTACTATATTATGTTCATAAACCCAAATGAATGCCAAGCATGGGAGTCACCAAAACACTATACCTCTGAGTTAATAAATATGCAAATTCTACTTTATTGAATTCACAGAACCTTTTATTTTTTAAATCAATGGATACTAAAAATACAATGCTTCATATTATATAAAATCTAATACAGTAAGAGTCCTCTTAAATTCATTACTCTAACAATCATGATATATAAATATTAAATATTTTATACATTTTATACGATCATTATTTTCACTAATGTGGACACCTTAAAGTAAGTTCGTCCATGTACTAAAAATTCATTTCCAAGTAGTTCATTACTGATGAATACTCAACACTTCAGAAGTCAAACTCCTGTAAGTTAACATTCTCTATACCAGCTTTAATAATGTACATAAAACAAATACAAGTATTTGAATCATCTTAACATTAACTTCCCCTCTTTAAGTCAGTTGCTATCAGTGATGACAAAATGGTAGCTAAGTTTTATTTCCAATATCATGGAGGCCACTTCAGAAAACTCAATGTGGTGACCTAATTCTATTATCATATAAAACCACAACATAGCAACAAAAAATAAAGGCTCATGCATTTAAGGAAATAAAACGTTTAACTGGTATCTAACTCTGGATACAGCTAAGACGGCAAAACACTTTCCTATTATGGTCGCCCAACAGAGACTCAAGGCTGTCCTCAAAGAATTTTGTATTTCACAAAAAATTTTTATCTACACAGAAAAAGTGAAGAAGGAAATCACCACACAAACACAACTGAATGACTAACACGATTTCTATAGTATTCAGGAGATTAATAATTTTGGAACCAGAAATTATCACAGCAAAAAGCTATCTTGGTAATAAAAGGGGAGTGGAGGGTTTTATAAAAAAGGCAAAACACTACACAATTTTGGACCCACCAGTTTTTGCTGAGGCTTTCTGAAAATCTGCTTGTCAGGCACAATATAGTTGTTTTCATAAAATGCATGAAGCAACAAGAACTCATTACGCTCGGATCGTCCACCCATCAGCGTCCTAGACTATTAAATAGAATTTCTTTTTTTAATTTGAGCTCAAAACTGTAACAAACAAAAGCAACTTTAAGGTGGTAAATGTAATCATAGCACCTCCTCCACAATCATTCTTCCTAATAAGGGCTGCTTCAAAAATAAGAAGGTACAAAATTCATTCTACCATTTTCTTTAAGCATTGTACTTAAAAAGAGACAAAGAAAGCTTAAAATACTGACACCACTTGGGCTATTTCTTTACTCCCAAATAGACCATTCCACACATCAGACACATCCAGATGTTAGAAATGATCCTTATGTTCACCAAAATTTCAACATACTGCACCTGGCTTTCCTCCCCTTCTTGCAGCCAGTTCATTTCACAAAAGCAGCCCAGCTTCCAGAATACAAGTTACTCATTTTATAAGCATGCATTTAGACTCATTATCATATAACAACTACCCCAAGCAAACACTGAATCCAACAGGAAATGCTTTTTCCCCCTTTCTAAGTTAAATTTACCATAATGTTCCCAGCGATGTTAGTGATCTGCAATGCTAATGGAAGAACATTTAGCTCACACATGATCTGCAAAATGAACCTGGCATCTTTCCAGGTATGTTCCAACAGGTACAACAGATGAGAAGATTCACTGTACAGAAAAGTAAGAATGAAACAGAATCAAGTAATTAAAAGAAACAATGACTATAATCAGAACTTCATAAAACATTACAAAAAAATTTTGGTATGAGTAACTTCAGAGCAATGGCACCTTGGCTTTGGAAACAATTTAAAATAAGGCTGGTATGAAACCATGAATTCATTCATGTCATTGATCCCAAAGCCCTCCTCTAAAACACGCACCCAAAAAAATCCCACAAATACAAAGTAAAATTATGTGTTAACTACGACCTGAAAACTACCTAAATTCTTGTATTCATTCCACCTAATAAGTAGGTGTTACACAAAGACTATGTGCCGGGCATAGTTCTGATTCTGGCTGTAACCAAAAGACAAAATTACCTGTCCTCATGGGGCTTATGCCCTCATGGGGGAGACAGAGTATAAATTAAAATACATATATATAGGGGCGCCTGGGTGGCTCAGTGGGTTAAAGCCTCTGCCAGGGTCCTGGGATTGAGCCCCACATTGGGCTCTCTGCTCAGCGGAGAGCCTGCTTCCACCTCTCTCTCTCTGCCTGCCTCTCTGCCTACTTGTGATCTCTGTCTGTCAAATAAATAAATAAAATCTTTCAAAAAAAATAAAAATAAAATAAATAATAAAATACATATATATATAGTAGGTTATATAATGCTGTGTTAAGGAGAAAAAATTAAGAAGCAAAGGAAATATTAAGTATCAGGAGCAGAAATTGAAATTTTAGTTAGGGAACCAGGGAAGAGTCCACTTAGAATAAAGAACCAGAAGAGGTGAGGAGGCAATCCTTCTGAACGGGCATCTGAGGTAAGAGCATCCAGCCAAATAGAACAGCACATTCAAAGGCTCTGAGCTGAGCACAAATGTGGCTCAGAAAGGAGAGCAGGGTCTGATGATGGAAAGTGAAGGACGGAGTTAAAGGTAGAGAGAGAAACACTGTATAGGACCTTGTAAGGCAGAGCAAGGACTCTGGTTTTTACTCTAAATGAAACAGTCACTGGAAGACTTTGAGCAGAGTGTAGTATCTGACTTAACTTTAGCAAGATAACTCTGGTTCCTGGGCTGAAAACAGACAGCAAGGAGTCAAGGGGAAAAGCAAAGAGACCAACAAAGAGGCTGACTATGACCATTAAACCAGGGGAAAGAGGAGGGTAGTGCAGACCAGGATGGGTTCAGTGGAGAGGAAAAGAAGTGGTCAGCTCTAGACATATTTTGAAGATAAAGCTGACAGGATTCTGTGATGGCTCAAACATGGGATATCTACCAGAAAGAGGAATCATGGAAGCTTCAAAGTTTTGGGGCCAAATATGACTTTGGAGATTTCTAGGAGTACTGGAAAAATACAAGCTGTCACTCTTAAGGAGGAACTACAAGAGTAGCCTAGGGCAAAAGATTAGAAGTTGAGCTTCTAAACAAGTCAGGCTGGAGGTTCGTATTAGACATCAAGTAAAACAGGCAGGTGGGTAGAGGAGTCTGGAATTCAAGGGAAAGATCTAAGCTGAAGATACGCAAGAGGGAGGCGTCAGAACCCACATGGTACTGAAATTTCTGAGACTCTATAAGATCACCTATAAAGAACGTAGTCAGAAAGACAAGCAGCTCAAGAACTTGGGAAGAATGGGCAGAAAAGAGCAAGTGGCAAGGGGAGCAGAAGAAACTTTGTTTGGAAATAATCAAGCACAAAGGTTCAGTTGTACAAAATGAGTAAGTTCTGGAGGTCTAATATATAGCAATGTGACTACAGTTAACAATACTGTATCATATATTTAAAATCTGCAAAGAGGGTAAATCTAAAGTATTGTAACCACAAAAAAAATATAGTAACCATGTGAGGTGACGGATATGTTAATCACCTTATGGTGATTGTTTTATAATGTATATATTTATCAAACATCAGTTTGTATACCTTAAATATCAGATATCAATACAATATACAATACAATACAAATATCAAATATAATTTCTATTTGTCGATTTTACTCCAATAAAGATGGAAAAAAATAATCAAGTATTATCTCTATATAACTTAGTGACTTTTCAGTTTTTTTAATTTCTAAAAGATTTACACTATCTCCTGAATTAAAGAATTAAGGGTAGAAACCTCACTATCACATCAATTTTCAAACTGCTCTTAGGAAACATCTACATGAGGTTAGGATGAGTAAGGGAGAAAAACATACACTGATAAAATCAAAATACTTCAAGAGGCAAAATAATTTAAGTTATTAAAGTAACAGAGATGCTGGTGCTGACACGAAGGCAGTTCCCCCTCCAGGAGACCACACACTCCTGGTCCCTCCAGCCTGGGGTGACACTGGCCTCTTGTTATTGCTCATTTCAAGACACACCAACTCCAAAGCATCCAGGATCATACCTGTACATATTTCGTACATTCTCCATTGGGATTTCAATTCTTTCAGTTCTCAGAATCTGTTGAACAAGTTCAGACAAATGGTAGCTTTTACAGCGAATCAATTCCTTTGCTGAAATTTCCACATCACAGATCATTCGGCCACAGGTAGCATTTCTTTCACCAAATCCACTCCTGCCCTACAAGGGGAGGACAAAAAGCAAATCCCATGGATGAGCAGACACTGGGAACATTCTGTTCTATCTTGCTTTGAAGCTAGCCCAGAATTACAATGAAGAAACTCTCAATCTCCCATTCACTCACTTAGTCAGCCATCACTCAAATATTTCTGAATGTATGGGGCTCCTGGGTGGCTCAGTCGGTTAAGCGTCTGCCTTCGGCTCAGGTCATGATCCCAGGATCCTAGTCCTGGGATCAAGGCCTGTATTAGGCTCTCTGAGCTGATCAGGAGCTGCTGAGCAGAAAGCCTGCTTCTCCCTCTCCTCCTGCTGCTCCCCCTGCTTGTTCTCTCTCTCTCCCTCTTTCTGTCAAGTAAATAAAATCTTTAAAAATATATTTCTTAATGTCCGCTATGTAGCTGACACTGTTTTAAGCACTAGGGAGACAGCAGTGAGCAAAACAGAAAAGACTCCTGATCTCAATTGAAATAGACAACAAAAAAACAGACATCAAAAGCAAGGAACAATATAGTTTTAGGAGGTAATAAGCATATGGAAAAGAGAAAAACTAGAATAGGTGAGGAAAACGAGAATTCAGGGGGCTGCACCTTAAATAGGGTAGTCATTGTAGACCTCCCTCAGAAGATGCCATATAAAGAAAACTGTGAAAGGGTGAGGAGTTGGTAAATCAAGGGCTGGGATGAAGCTTAGTAACAATTCTAACACTGTAAAGATAAGAACAGGAAAAGAAGCAAGAGCACTAGCTCCAACTCCAATCTGCAGCAGCAGAATCCACTAGAGACTATTTTAGAAAGGTACAGATTCCTAAGTTTTCGGATGAGGCAACATGCCCATTTTACTTAGAAGTTTTAAGTAAAATAAGACTTCAAGCAAATAGCATTCTCAGGCTTAGGAAATGAAGGTGGCTTCATACAAAAACCACCAAAGCCTCCCTAAGTCAAACAAGCAGGTAGAATGAAAAATACATAGACTTTTAAAGAGTTAAGACAGGCCAGGTTTAAAACCTCAGTTCTTCCCCATACTAACCCTACAACCTTGAACAAGTTCTGTCACCCCTGTGAGAAGTACAGGGAAACTGGAGTTGCTGTAACAGCCAACTAACGCACAGGCACTTAGCCCACGGCCTTCTTACACATTCAGTGTCAGCTCCCTCCCACTCTTCCTTCACCTCTCAGTCCTGAAGGCTAACACTCACTGATCTCTGAACCCCGCAACTCTGCTCTAAGGGCTACAGCATCGGTAACGCTGAAGTGGAGGTAACATGTATGTGCCATCTCTAGATTCTAATAGCTAATTTTAAAAACTACCAGTGGTTTCAACCAATAAAATGCTGCATTCAAAGGAAAAGATGTTTAGTGCCAAAGTTAAAATGTCCTCTCACAAGACAACCAATTCTCAAAGAAGCAGTGTGTTCCCAGGTAGCTATTCCATAAAAAGAAGTCAATCAAGAAGTAAGATTTTGAAAACTATTATTACCCCAAGCTTTGGCATGTTGGATCGCTTCAGTCGACCTATCTTGGACCAATGAGGAACTTTGCACACATTAATTCTCTGCAGGAGCACTTCCAGTTCAAATCCATAAATATTATGACCCTAGTCAGAAAAAGAAGGCAGCCAGTAACATTATAACAAACGCAAATTAGAGGATTTATCTTCATATGCACAGAATTTCTGTGCCCTCTCTTTTTTCTGGTCTCTAATTGAAGGCATCATGAGCTTACCTCCGATTGGGGTCCTTTCTTCTTCAGGAATGTATTCATCAGCAGCATTCATTAGCCTTGACATTAACAAAGCTGCTAAGCAGATTGCTAGAGTAAACTTTTATTTCATCCTAATTGATGCAAGGTTCATATGATGTCTTTTAAGTTGCTACTCATGCCTCACAGTCTCAGAGGCAAATTTTTATGTTCCATAATTTTTTGTGATCAGTAAAAACTATGTTCAAATATTTCCATTTTAATTCCTTAAAATCTGAGAACCTGCCTGTGTTGTGTAATAGTTTATACAGACTTCTTAGAAAACTCAGGAACTGCATCTACTCTGTTCTTAAAGAACTGAGTTCAAATACTACTGATTTAGACTCTTAATCAATGCATAACAAACTATACAATATCAGGTGATAGTTCAAATTAGGAAACAAAACTATACCAAGTATAAATTATCTCAAAAATGTAACTACAGACACCTGGATGGCTTAGTCAGTTAAGCATCCAACTCTTGATTTTGGCTCAGGTCTTAATCTCAGGTTTCTGGGTTCAAGCACCACACTGGGCTCCACAGTGGGCATGGAGCCTACTTAAAAATAAAATAAACAGGGGCACCTGGGTGGCTCAGTGGGTTAAGTCTCTGCCTTCAGCTCAGGTCATGATCTCAGGGTCCCGGGATTGAGCCCCGCATCGGGCTCTCTGCTCATCGGGAAGTCTGCTTGCCCCCACCACCTGCCTCTCTGCCTACTTGTAACCTCTCTCTCTCGATCTGTCAAATAAATAAATAAAATCTTTAAAAGTAAATAAATAAAATAAACAAAAATGCAACCAAATTTTCCACATCTATAATGATAATTTCCATCATGTGAAAAGTATGGTTCACTGTCTACAGTTTACTTAAAAACTAGATGAAGCTTAAAATAAATCATATCAATAGACTCACTTGCTATTAATTTTAATTAAAAATGTGTACCACTATATATTTATGGCAGTTTTGTCTATTAAATTAAGAAACACGAGGACATGAGAAAGTCTCATTTCCAAATTATCATTCCTGGGATTACAGACGCTCACCAGTGTCAGGATTCTCTCTTACATCAGATCAGTTTGGACTTCTCACACACAGACTTGGCTCTACTACCCTAAGGCAGGCCAGATATCTGAGGCACCAAGACAGCTCCTTGGGGTCCTACTACTAGAATACTACTAGAGGACAATAGGTGAGGACCTAGTTCTGAGCCAGAGTACCAAAGCAGGGCATTCTGGACAGAATCTTCCTGGTGCTTTCAAGGTGTATAACAAAATATGTAACACCTAGAATACTGGAAGAGAAGCAGGTGCAGAGACACTTACTAACAACCTATAGGCTCTAGGTAATCTGGCCACACCATGGTCAAGCAAGTTGTCCAAGAGCAAGAGTGAATGTGGAGAAATGTATTTGCATTTCTTGCAAGGCTTACATATAACCATTTTACCAATATCACACTTAAAATACATGCATTTATATCCTACTTTCCTCCAAAACAATCAAAAGCACAACATAATTTGATCCATTAACTGAAAAAAAGGAAGAAATCATATCAAACTAAAGCCAGAGCAAACAAAGCAAAATGTTGCTTTATGACTCTTAAAAACTGGGGCAAACATAATTCAATGAATTATTACTCTTACCATCTAACGGGAATATACTTGGTTATGAAGAGGAAAAAAAACTCTTAGCCCTGACCTCTCAAAGAATAGGTCATAGAGATCCACTGAGCTCAGGGCAACTTGCAGGCTCAGTCAGTAGAATATGCGACTCTTGATCTTAGGTTTGTAAGTTTGAGCCCCATGTTGGGTTGTAGAGATTACTTAAAATAAAAAGAGAGAGAGGGAGAGAACTACTGAGCTCATAAAATGAAAATACTTAACACTTTGGAGACCGACACCAAATCAAGGGAATTAACTCCTACGACCATTATACAGCTGGACCACTAATCCAAAATTTCAGAGAAACCAATTGTCAACACAAGTTTACTTACTTACAGGCTGGTCTCTAAAGTGGAAATAACTGGAATATCCTGAACTTCAACAATAACATGAGTTGCTTTTCTCTTAGAGGAAAATAACTACTTTATAGTGGGCTGGCTCTTCCCTCCCCCTTTCTATTAGCAGAAACTACAACAATTCCCACCAGTACATAAGGTCATTTCTTCTCTGAAGATTCAAAAATAAAGAACTCATAAACTGAACAATAAAAAAACCCCACCCAGTTAAAAAATGGGCAGAGGACCTGAATAGACATTTCCCAAAGAAGACCTACAGATGGCCAATAGGCACATGAAGAGATGTTCAATGTCACTAAGTATTAGGGAAATACAAATCAAAACCACCTCAACACCTATTAGAATGACTATTATCAAAAGGACAAGAAATAACAAGTAGAGAGGAAGTGGAGAAAAAGGAACTCTCCTACTGTTGGCGGGAATGTAAACTGGTGTAGCCACTGCAGAAATCAGTTTGGAGATTCCTCAAAAAAATTAAGAATAAATCTACAATATAATTCAGCTATTCTGCTTTGGGTATTTATATGAATGTGAAAACACTGATTCAAAATGATAGATGCAGCCCTATGTTCATTTATAAGAGCCAAGATATCAAAACAACCTAAACTGTCCATCAATGGATGAATGGATAAAGAGGATGCAGTACATGCACACACAATGGAAGAAGAATGATATCACGCTTTTTGCAACATGAATGGACCTTGAGGGTATTATGCTAAATGAAGTACGTCAGATTTCACTCATCATATGGAACCTAAAGCATGTGGAATCTAAACAAACAAATGAACAAACAAAATTACACAAAACAAACTCAGTGATAGAGAATACACTGCTAATTACCAGAGGGAAAGGGACTCGGGGGTTGGGCAAAAAAAAGTGAAGGCTATGGTGACCAACGGTAACGGGGCTCTTGGCGGTCATCACTTTGTAGTGTATACAGACGTCAAATTATAATACTATACACCTGAAACTTAAGTCATGTTATATACCAACTTTACCTAGATCAAAAAAAATAAAAAAGATTCTCTGCTGCTCAGTAAGTACTGAAAAGAAAACTTATAAGGAATGAGGAGCTCCCCCATGGCATGATGAGACATCTACTCACCACAATGATATCAGGATCAATTTTGTGAACTTTGGCGAGGAAAAAACCTAGCAATGTTCTTTCTGTTGCAGCGATCTCAACCTTCACATTCTGTTAGATAAAAACATACCAGTCACTTACTCTTTACTTTTAAATACTATACTCAGTTCCTTGTTCAAGCAGGGTTAGATTTCTGAGAATTAAAAGAATCCACCCAGGGGCACCTGGGTGGCTCAGTCAGTTAAGCGTCTGCCTTTGGATCCAGGGATCGAGTCCCAAGTTGGGCACTGGGCTCCCTGCTGAGCCCCTCCCCGCCTCGGTCAGGTGCATGTGCGTGCGCTCTCTCTCTCAAAATAAACAAATGAAATATTAAAAAAAAAACAAAGAATCCATCCATTTTAAAACTCAATGAAACAATGAAATTGCTGATTCTAGGTTTCACAGTAATAATTGCTGAAAGTCTCTAAGGAGCTCATAGTAATAAGTGTATAAATAAAGCAAAACTTTAAATGCTGAGCACTATGAAGTGCAGACATGTCCCTCCACAGGGACACACTTGCGTATCTGGACGCATATGAACAAGCATATGAATCCAAGTACCTGTCAAAAACACTACTTACTTTCCTGTATAATCCCTGGTAGACTTTGCTGTTTACATATTTGCGACACAAAGAAATCCCAAAGATTGTATAAACTAATCTCCAAGAGTGGTGTAAGAACCCATAAATAAGAAACTAGACTGAAAACAAACATACATTTAAGAATTATAGGTGTCTTCAGTAAAAATAAAACCTATCTTCACACAAAAGGCTTCCATTTGGATTACTGAATATAAATCAGGTATTCAAAAGATCCACTCTTATTAAGACACCCTTAAAATGGAAGTTGATAGCTATGTGTTTTCTACAACTAACTTGGCTACAAATATCAGTTAGACTCTAAATGAATTTTCCTAGATCATTTTACTTGGATAGGTAATTCAGAGCACATCACAAATAACAGGCTGATCCAACAGTACCCCCCAGACTGCTGGACTTCTCCAGCCAACTTAAATAAGTGGAACCTGACACAGTTGCTAAAATTTTGCCAAGTGAGGATATTAAAAAAAGAAAAACAACCCACAAATTTATGAACACAAACATTTTACAAAAGAAACACACTCTCCAAAACAAATTCTTTACATTGAATACATTTACCTTTGTGACAGACTCACTACATTACACTACTTTTTTCCCACCCCTATTTTATTAACAACCCATGAAAACTTCATGGAGTATATTGGCAGTTGAGAGATCACTGATCAATTCTGGCTAGCCGATATCGATCTTTCCAAAATGTGTCCCCTTTACTATCCACAGTATTCCCAACTTCACTTGGCTTTCTTCAAGCTGGAGAATGGGGGAAGGGGCTCTACCCAATACTTCATCAAAACAGTAATCACATGATCATGCATTTTGGAAAGATTTCCACTTAAGCTCTCTGAAGGAGGATTTGAGCCTATCCATTATTTTCTCATTATTTTCAGGTGGCAAAACATTTAAACATTGTTAAATGATGTTTCTACTTTCGTATTTCTAATACATTTTGAATGGATTAAATGCCATAGTCCAATGTAGCAAGTCTTTTTCTTTTTCTAAACAAATAGTTGCTTCATATTTAAAAGGAATAAATGATGAGTTCCTTACCTTTTCCTTAATGTATTCTTTGAAAGTATATGGAAAAATACAGTCCTTCGGTTTAGACACAACTATAAAAAGGCAAAAAATAAAGATTCCATCACCTTCTTAGTCCAATTTCAAGTACACACATGCTGCATGTTTCCAAATGGAAACTGTCTTAAATATAAACAAATACCCCCTAACCTCTAAAGAGTTAAGAGTTCAAGTATTTCCACTGGTGTTGTTGGACCTCAAAAGGAAAGCCAGAGCAAGCAATCCTAAAATTTATTATGAAACCACAAAAGACACCAAGTAGCCCAAGCAATCTTGGTAAAGAAGAACAAAGCAAGAGACGTCATGCTCCCGGATTCCCAACTATACTCCAAAGCTGCAGTGATCAAAACAGTATGGTACTAAGATAACAAGACACCTAGATCAATGGACAGAACAGAGATCCAAGAAATTAATGCGCGCACACATGATCAATTAATTTATGACAAAAGAGGCATGAATATACAATGGGAAAAGGATAGTCTCTTTACTAAATGGCAAAACTAGACAGCCACAAGCAAAAGAATGAAACCGCACCACAATCTTACACCATAAACAAAAACTAAAGGAAAATGCATTGAAGACTTGAATATAAGGACTTGAAATCATTAAATTCTTAGAAGAAAGCAGGCAGTAAGCTGCCTGACATTGGTCTTGGTGATGATTTTTGGATTTGACACCAAAAGCAAAGGCATCAAAAGCAAAAATAAGCAAGTAGGACTATATCACAATAAAAAGCTCTTGCACAGCAAAGGAAACTATCAACAAAATGAAAAGGTGACCTAACAAAAGGAGAAAATATTTGCAAATCATGTATGTGATAGGAAGTTAATATCCAAAATATACAAGGAACTCCTATAACTCAATAGCAATAAAACAAACAATCCAACTAAAAAATGGGCAAAGGCGTGGGGGGGATGGCTGAGCCTGGGGATGGGTATTAAGGAGGGCACATATCACATGGAGCACTGAGTGTCATAGGCAAACAGTGAATTATGGACACTACATCAAAACTAATGATGTACTGTATGGTGACTAACATTACATAATAAAAAAAAATGGGCAGATGCTGGGGCACCTGGCTGGCTCAGTCGGTAGAGCAAGTGACTCTTGATCTCAGGGTCATGTTCAAGCCCCACACTGGACATGGAGCCTACTTTTTTAAAAAAATGGGCAAAGGTTCTGAATAGACATTTTTCCAAAGAAGACATACAGATAGCCAACAGGTCCATGAAAAAGTGGTCAACATCACAATTATCAAAGAAATGCAAATCAAAACCGCACAGGGATATCACCTGACACCTGTCAGAACTGCTATTATCAAAAAGACAAGAGGGGCACCTGGCTGGCTCAGTCAGTAGAACATGTGACACTTGATCTCGGGATCATAAGTCCAAGCCCCACCTTAGGCACAGAGCCTACTTTAAAAAAAAAAAAGACAAGAAATAATAAGTGTTGCCTAGGATGTGGAGTAAAGTGAACCCTTGTATCCTGTTAGTGGGAATGCAAACTGGGACAGCCGCTGTGGAAAGCAGTATGGAGGTTTCTCAAAAAAAAAAAAATAGAAATAAATATACGCTATGATCTAGGTATTCTACTTCCGGGTATTTGAAGAAAATGACATCACTAACTTGAAAAGATATCTGCACCCGCATATTCACTGCAACATTATTTACAAGAGCCAGGAAATGGAAGCAACCTAAGTCCCCATCAATGGACGAACAGATAAAGAAAAGTAGTATATTTATACAACAGATTATTATTTGGCCATAAAAAAGAATGAAATGTCACAAATCTTGCCATTTGTGACAACATGGATAGACCATGAAGGGCATTATGGTAAGCAAAGTCAGACATAGAAAGATAAATACTGTATGATCTCACTTATGTGTGCAATCTAAAAAAACAATGACAAAATGAGGTCATAGATACCAATAACGGACTGATGGTTCCCAGAGGCGGGATGGGATGTGAGGATAGAGGAGGGACTGGGTTAAGAGGGTCAAAAGGTGCAAACTTCAGTTATAAAATAAGTCATAGAGATGTAATGTACAGCATAGTGACTATAGTTAATAATACTCTCTTGCATGTTTGAAAATTGCCATGACAGTAAATCTTAAAAGTTCTCATCAAAAGAGAAACCATTTTTCTATGATGACAGATGTTAATCGGGTTATCGTGCTGATCATTTCATGATACACACAATAATCAAACTGTCATGCTGCACACCTGAAATTAAAATAATGTTACATATCAATTTTACCTCAATTTTTATAAAGTTTAAAGGTTGATTAAACAAAAAAGAACAGTCATGCACAGAACCCTAAGTCCCTATAATTGTTTAAAACTACTTTCATGAAACATCTTCTACCCATCTAAGTCAGAATGGAGGATGTTTTTGTTTTTTTTATAAAGATTTTTATTTGTTTATTTGACAGAGAGAGATCACAAGTAGTCGGAGAGGCAGGCAGAGAGAGACGAAGGGAAGCAGGCTCCCTGCTGAGCAGATAGCCCGATGCGGGACTCAACCCCAGCACCCCGGGATCATGACCTGAGCCGAAGGTGAGGCTTAAACCACTGAGCCACCCAGGCGCCGCAGAATGGAGGATGTTTAACAGTCTCGCCCAAAGGGAATCCCCCCACCACCAAAGACTTAACCAGTATACAATGAAGGATCGCCAAACTTCTCCAAGTTAGAAAGATAAAGATGACCAGTTTCCCTCACTGTAAATTCACCACCACTCAAAACAGCTGTTCACACAGTGACATACACAGAGCAGGTGAATAAATAGATGTTGAGATGAGCTCACAACTGCTCTCTTCCACATATTTTCCAGAGTATTCTCACCATTTTTTTGTTCTATGTATTCTACCCCACTTAAAGAATGAAACTTCGCAATACTAATAATACATGATATTCCCTTCTCCACTTATTTTCCTAGTCCTCCTTTCCCAAAACCCCAATACCCACAAAATCAGACAGGAGATGCTGCCCCCATCTAACTGTAGGTTCTAGGCTAGAAAAGATTTCAGGAAATGTAATAGATCAATAGTATTATGCCTTTTTCTTTTAAAAAAAAAAGTTATTTAGCCGGCTAAGGTCTCAACATGAAATAGGTCAGAACGCTCTTTGGAAACTGACTCATGGCATGCAGGTTCCTGTGTAACATTTTTAACCAACTGAATTTTATGCAGAGCAAACTCAGATCTAATTTGATATACTGTAACTCCTCCTAAATAGGCAGACGTTCATTTATGCCTGGACATACTGTCTCACCACACAGAAAACTTGGTCAGGCTTCTATGAGGGACTTTTAGAAAGACATCATGAAAAGGAAATAGTGATAGCGTAATTTTGACCCAGGGAAAAAAAGTAGAATATCCCAATAAAATAACCACTGGAACAGAAAGAAAATGTCAAACTGCCTCCCAACTTCTGCTCCTTGAACAAAATAAACCAGATGAATAGGATCCACAAATCCAATAAAACTCAGTGTCCACAGCTAACAAAAAAATAAAAAAGAAAACTTCTTTAACAATATGTACTAACTACTCTTGAAAACATCAAAAGAAAAAGTCACTGATCAAACAGCTGGAGAAAAAGGAAGAAAAATTAAAATCAAGCCATTAGAAGACCAGCTAAAAAATATACATACCACAGAAATGTGACTGGAAGGGAGGCTGTGGGGGTGCTTTATCTAATGCAAAGCTGTGATGGACCAAAGCTGCCACAGCAATAATCTGCAGATAAAGGAGGGAAAAAGATCACTTATCAAATGCCTAATATGCATTCTGCATTTTCATCAAAACTACCAAGAATATTAAAAGATAGACATTTTCATCCATATGAATATTTTAACTTTTTATTATGAAAGTATTTACACAAACAAAAAACGAAGAAAATAGAAGGTGAAATAGAAGTTCTGACCCGGAACTGGAACCCAGGACTCCTGACTCCCAGCCAGGGATCTCAAAAGAAATAGGTAAATGATGTTTAAAGACTCAAATCTTTAAAAAAAAAACAAGCTATAGATATGCATGACCAATAATATGGAGGATGCCAACCACGGATGAAGCTAGGGAAGAGGAATTGTGCGTACTCTTCATTTTCTTTTTTTGAAATCTGTACTTTCTGGGGCGCCTGGCTGCCTCAGTCAATAGAGCATGTGGATCAAGAGCTTAGAGTTGAGATGGGTGTAGAGACTACTTTAAAAAAAAAAAAAACAACAACTGGTACTTCCTAAATTTTGTGTGAACGGCAAGTACTGCTGTTGTGATTAGAAACAGTACAAGTATAGGAGAAACTCTAGAAAAAAGCAAAAAAGTCAAATCACATCTATAATAAAATCCTAGCTTTTTAATAAAATACACAGAGAAAGAAGACAGAAAAGAAATACACAAAAATGTTAATAGTAGTCATCTCTGAAGGTTGGGGTTATTAGCAGACTTTTCTGTCTAAACTTTTATACGTTCATATCCAGATTTCAGTGTTTTATATCAACCTATTCATCGAAGAGCCTAACTCCCTGTTTCTGTGCTGATACCAACAATAGCTTCCCCTGGCATTGTGTTGGAGAAAGCTTGCTGGCCCTGGGGAGAAAAAAGAAACCATTTCTCTGCGCCTAGTTAACTCCTACTCAACCACCAGTACTCAAGGTCCATCCTACTTCTTCAGAAATGACTTTTGGAGTGGACACTGAGGTGTGTCACCCAGAAGTCCTCTTCAGGACAAGGGCCTTCATTCTCCCAACTACGAAGAGAGCTGGAGGCTGACACTCACAGAGGAGTCTCTTGGAAGCTGCCTGGGAGGCACCTACACCCACTATCTAGTTAGTGCATCAGAAGGGAGAAGGGCTGTTAACTGGTAACAATCGCCCAAACCACTTCTCTGAATTCAGAGCAATTCTGAAGGTCGTCACTATGCCTGAGCTCCCTGGGACTGGCTGACCCCTTTGCTGTAACTGCAACACAGTTTTCGCCCACCGACAGGCCAGCGGCCTTCACTCTTCCACAGGGGCTGACCCTCAGAGCATCCCAAGAAGTTTCCCTAACCAGTGACACTTCCCCGGCCTCCCAGGCTAGGGCACCTTCCTTTATGAGATGTTATCCAGAGCACATGTATCCTTTGTAAGCTTTATATCTATTTCTGTTATTAGGCTAATATCTGTCTCCTTCTTTGTCTTTTGAGTCACAAGCATCCCATCACACTAACACATGGTTTAGAAACAATTGCCGAGTCAACAACTTTATTAACCAAGTAATCTAAATCCTTAGGAAGCCATCTAATTTACTTAGGGCTGCAGAAAGTCTCTCGTATTCATTCACTCACTCACTCACTCAACATTTACTAAGAGAAAAAACAGCAAAATCAACTCTCATATACCCATCATCTGCCTTCAGTTATCAACTCATCAATAACCCTATCCACTTCCTGCCTCCATCCAGATTATTTGAAGCAAAATCCAGACCTACCACTTTACCCACAAATATTCCAGAATGTATCTATCTGTAAAATAAAGTTTCTCCACCTCAGCACTAGGACATTTTTGACCAAATAACTCTTTGTTACAGGGGCTGTCCTGTCCACTGTGACAGGTTTAGCAGCGTCCCTTGCTGCCGACAGCACTGCCTTCCACCCGCAAGTCGTTGACAACCGAAAATGCCTGCAGACGTGGCCAAGGGTCCTCTGAAGGGCAAAATCTCACCCCAATGAGAATCGCTACTTTAAAAGATAGTAAGTTTCTAAAATGTAACACAAGCACAGCGAATACAATTAACAGTAATTCCTTAAGATCACTAAATATCCAGGTAGGATTCAAATTTTCACGTGTTCCCAACAATCCCAATTTTATTTATCAAGTAAGGCCAGACTCTGCAATTGGCTGATATGTAGAACTATAGGCACAACCCCTCTCAACATATTATTTCCATGCAACTCATTTGTTGAAGAAACTGGGTCATTCATCCTATAGAGTGCCCCACAGTATTGATTTTGCTGCTTGTATTCCAATAATACTTACATTTAACACTTTCCTGTTTCTGTACTGCCAGTGAATTCACATTTAGATCTAAAGGCCTGATCAAAATCACATTCAGGTTTTTGGCATGAATACGTTACAGGTGCTACTTACTGATTACTTCTATCAGCACAGGCACATCATGTCTGGTTAGCTCTCTTTCAGTTCTATTAGCAACAACTGGTTGCTTGATCCAGTGGTTCTAGGGGGCTTGAAGGGGGTACTTTTTTTTTAACTAATTAAACCTTTTCCAAACACTTAACTGTTAACTATGGCCATCTACCATATTAACTATTACTAAAAGATCCAATCACATAGTAAAAAAATTTAGAGTAAAAACAATGCCAAAAAGGCTGCTGTTAAAAAACATCCCCTTCGGGGCACCTGGGTGGCTCTAGTTGGTTGGGCCTCTGCCTTCGGCTCAGGTCGTGATCTCAGGGTCCTAGGATCCAGTCCCGCATTGGGCTCTCTGCTCGGCAGGGAGCCTGCTTCCTCCTCACTCTCTCTCTCCCTGACTCTGCCTACTTGTAATCTTTCTCTGCCAAATAAATTTTTAAAAAATCCCCTTCAATATCAAAAGGATTTAGAAGTGAACAATAAAACATCCCCACTGACCAAAGACAAATTTAAGCATCAAAAGTTACAGTAATAATGATGGCAATGAACTGAAACATGATGAGTAAATATAAAACCTCTGAGTTCATAATATTCCATAAAAAAGGCAACAAAATATAAGTAACAACAAAAATAAACAAAAAATTACTGGTCAACACTGCATGTAATGCAGGCCCCCAACTTCCTACTCAGAAAATTGGCAATGGAATACAAAAAAGTACACATTGGCCTCATCTTTCCTCATCTCTATGAACTACTGCAGCATAACCAAATAGTGCTGGTTAATGAAGAAAAGTTAATTTTATAGAAAAATTTAACAAATGCTCTAATATTTAACATGTTTAACTAATAAACATGGAAAGGATGACAGAATTAAAAATCTGTTTTACAAGTCCTAATGAAATAACTAATTCAGGTAAAAAATAAAGGGAGGGGTTATTAGACCAGTAGCTTTCAAATGTGAACAATTTTGGTCTCCACCCCAAGAGGACACTTGGAAATGTGTGGAGGCTTTTTGGTTGTCACAAGTAGGGGAGAGGGGTGCCACCTGGCATTGGGCAGAGGCCAACATCACTGCTAAACATCCCACAACGCCCAGGACAGCCCTCACAACAATGAATAATTCAGCCCAAAGCATTAGTAGTGCAAAGGTTAAAAAACCCTCCTATAGATGAAAACTTGAACCCACTAATCAATCATAGCCCCATTAACAGTGGTTTAACCAGACATTATATACCTGCTGATATATAAGGCAGTATGAAATACATCATACCACCTGAAGAGTATACTGACGCAAAAAGTCAAAACTGAATCTAATCAATTGTTTAGCGTCAACTAGCAGGGGCCAGAACATTTGTCACATAAAGAGCCAGATACTAAGTATTTTAGGCTCTCAGGTCACATGGCCTAAGTCATGACTATTAACTCGACAGCAACTGCAGATAATATGTAAACAAATAGACACAATGTCTTTCAATTAAACTTTATTTACAAAAACAGATGGAAAGGCTAGATTTGCCCACAGGCCATACTGCGCCAACACCTGGTATAGAGGAAGAAGTCCAATGACATAAGGAAGCAAACACAGAAAATGGGACATTCTATGAGACAACGAACAATGATTCTTAAGTAAGTCAATGTCAGTGGAAAAAGTGTACGAGGGAGCTGCTCCCATTTAAGAGAGATTCAAGAGACATAAAAATGCAACACCATCTGTGAATCTTATATGAATCCTGATTCAAGTAAACCAACTGGTAGAAAACATTTCTGAGCCAGTAATATTGTCATAATTCATATGGTGACAGATGGTTACTAGACCTATCGTGTGATCATTTTGTAATGCATAAGAACATAAAATCACTATGTGGTACACCAGAAACTAAGAGATGTCAAATATAATTCAATAAAGAAAGACATTTTTGATAAACAGAATCATGTGAATATGGACTGAGTATTTTAGATGGTATCAAGGTATCACTGGTATAGTTAGTAAATGCAATAATTGTATCTATAAGAAAGAGTGCATGGTTTGAGAGATGCAAACCAAAGAATACAATGGTAAATTACACATCTGACCTTAGCTTTTAAAATATTTCAACAGGAAAAGCAAGAGCGGGGGAAACAAGTGTGACAAAATCTTCCTAACTGCTAAATATGAATAAAAGGATATGGGACTTCATTATATTATTCCAAGTCCACTTAAAGTTCACCAAAATAAAAAATTCAAAAAACAAAAAATAAAAATAAGTGCAGCAATTTAAGTCTTTAAAGAAAAACTCCAACATCCAACAAATTCAATTCATTCTCCATAATGGAGTTTGGTAGCGCATTAGTATTCTTTCTCCTCCAGAAAGAACAATTACCCCTTGTAGAATAGTTGCATAAGTCCAAGCTAGCACCGAATCTAAAGCACAGGTACACACATCTGCCCTATTTCTTTACCTCATTTTGATGTGTCTTTGCATTCTGCATCGTCTTCATGCTGAAAGACATGACCACGAGTGGAGGAGGACCAACATCTTTAATCACATTCACCAGGTCTGGTTTCAGAGCCATTGCCTCAACTTTACACCAACTGACTGGCTGATTCAAGAGCTCTGAGAGAGAACAGATACAATAGATCAATAGCCATTTGCTGAAAAAGAACAACTACTATAATTAAAACATGACCCCCATATTCTAATAAGAATGTCTTATTACAGGGCGCCTGGGTGGCTCAGTGGGTTAAAGCCTCTGCCTTTGGCTCAGGTCATGATCCCAGGGTCCTGGGATCGAGCCCCACATCGGGATCTCTGCTCTGCAGGGAGCCTGCTTCCCCGCCCCCTCTCTGCCTGCCTCTCTGCCTACTTGTGATCTCTGTCAAATAAATAAATAAAATCTTTAAAAAAAAAGATTGTCTTATTACAACATCTAGCTAAAAATAAACCCAGTTACTGGGTTGTATGCAAAGCCACGTGTGTAAGCATAGATGTGCGTGTATAACACATATATTCAACTTCCTGGGAAAAAAGGTCCACAGCTTTCCTCTGATTTTCTGAAGAATCCAGGACCCCAAATAGGTTCAAAAAACAAAAATACCCTGGAGGAATCATAAAACATTTTTAAGAGATTCAAGAAGCCAAAACAGGGTATCACAGATGTAAATACTGAAAACAGGAGGTAAATAACCAAAGATCACTAGCTGCCTCCAGCAGTGATGCCTCCCCTCCTTCCGAGGCCAGCAGTCCACTACGTACAGGAGGTGGGCATCACCAGCCAGAAGTACAGGCCAACAGCAGCACAAAGAGGGATGCATGCCAACAACCACCTGGGCTCACGAAGGCCTCCCTCCCACTGAAATGCCAAGCACCACAGCGATCAAATGCCTCCAAACATATTCCCTATAGTCACTCAAAGAACACCTTGAGGAAAACAACATAAAAAAGGAAGTAGATGCACTGAAATACAGAGACCAATTCCTTCACTACTAAAAATTGCCTCTATCAGCAATCTGGCCTTCTGAACGTAAATATTCCCTTACGTGGATTTTTCACTTCGAGCCAACAAGGTCCTCTGATCTTTCTGCTCATCAAGAACAATTCCAGGCTGGATGAGTTGGTCCCAAATACATGAGAAAAAGTTTCTCCTTTCAAATCCTGAGGAAGCTGTGGCATTTCAGCCTGAAAAAGGCAAAGAAGAAAAAAAAAAAAAGCCCTTTTGTTTAAAACTATTACTTCACATCTTCCAAAGTCTATATTTGAAATAAACAAAAGCCTCTTTACGAACCACCAGAAGAAACCCCTTTGATATATATGAAATGTAATTTGCAACAAATGAAATCCAAAACAATTCACAGTAGGACACAAAAACAATTCACAATGACAAAATAATGCATCTTGATGGCATCCGTTAGAAGAAAAATAGGCCAAGAAGCTCCCCCAAAAGAGGATTTCTGTCCAGAGCTGTACATGCCTTACAGATAAAGAATAGCCAAATAAGTATCCACTCCATTAGAAGAATAAAAGCAAGAGTGGAACTCATTTAAAATGCTTCTATGGTACTTTTCATCACCACTGTCAGAAACATTTCTTAAGTTTCCCTTTTCCAACACTGTGAGATCAGAACTCTGTAACAAAGGTAAAAAGAGGTTAAGGCCCAGTTAATTAACATCCCACAGCAATGACCTTGCCTATCAGGGGAGCAAGAGCAGCACTACAGCGATGCTACTGATGTTCCTCTCTCACCTTTCTGCTGCTCAGAAGGGACCCTTCAACAGACTAATGATATTCAACTCCATCATGTGGCATTCATTCCACTTGACAAGCAAGCAGTTGTGCAGTTTCAACTTATTTATTTAAAGATGCACACTTGAAAGCCAAGAAAGGCAGTACAACCAGTATTCTATATATTCAAATTATTTTTACCCAGTTTAATTATTCATTACTGTAAGTCCACCTCAATGAACCGTGGGCTTGAGGATCCCTGCTGATACTCCTAATTGAAAGCCAGCTGAAATTTCAAAAATAGAGAAATGTCATGCTCAACCAAAACCCAGTAATTTTCTTTGACTTACCGAGTATCTAACTTCCAAGTACTCAGATTTTTCTGGAACATCAGGTATCTCAAAAGCATAGTTCTTTTCCACTGGCTGGGTAGGTAGATATTTAGAAATCATTAAGACAAAAACTTTTTGCAAATTAAAATGACAAGCATTACATGCACATGTCCTTGAATCTAGTATCTTTACGGAACACAAAGGTAAAGAAAGCCAAATGGGCACTCTTTCCCCTTTTCCACTGGGACTAAAACACCCAATGACAAGATGCTAAAAAGACTTCTCCTGGACACTACAGAACTTAGGAATATTTGCATTCAAGCAGGGCAATAAAAGATTAAAGATTTTTATAATGTTAATGTATCCAATCACTTGCTACTCTTTGATATTAACCAACACCAACTTGCTAGAAGAATTAATATTAGCATTAAAATTATGGCTCCTATTTAATGAGTGCTTACTAAGTGCCAAGGACTGTTCTAATCACCTAGTAAAAATTTGGGGGCTTACTCTTCCAACAACTCTTGAAATAGGGTCCCATTTCTAAGTGAACAAACAGGCCCAGAGAACTCACTCATCTCTTACCCAAAGTCACATACTACAAAGTCATATGGCTAGAACTTAAAGCACAAGCAGTGTGGTCCCAGCACCTATGCTCTTCACCATTATACCACACTACTTCTAGAATTTGACAGAACTGATCCATCAGCCATAATTCTAAGCTCAAATAGTTAAAATGATTAACCTTATCTTCAGCAACTCAATTCTCCCTTTGCTGCAATCACTGTTAAAAGTATGATGAGTTACAAGCCCCTATGATGATGGCCAAAGGTGTCATTTATCACACTAAAATCAAGACCGATCAATATGTAACACACAAATAAAGATTTTTATCCTACCAGAAATAGCATCATAGTCCCCAATTTTTAAATATAAAACCTTAACCCTCTGACCAAAACAACCTGCCAATAACTAATAAAAACAAAATCAGAAGAGTTTCTTCTCCATTTCAGAAAGAACACAAGATATGCTACAAGGATTGGAAACAATTACTTTGCTATGTGTTACCTTTCTATTCAAACTCCAGAAAATTACTAAGTAGTTTAAAGAGAAAGAAAGTATTTTTTACAAATCTTACATACTAATTTTATATGGCTATCTATGAAATTTCCATCCAATGGATTATAGTCACAAAAAAGACATTTTGCACAAAGAAGATATACAAGAACTATTTTATAAGTCAGGATATGAACAAACAACTAATAAACAGTGGGGAAAAATTATCACCAAATACAAACCTTGGACTTGAACTTCATGATTTTGTATTTTGCTGCTATTTTCTCATCAAATTCATCATAAACATCCTTCATTGTGACTGGAATTTCTGTCTCTTTTCCTCTACTTAGATCAATTTTCTGCTCTCCCACAGAGAGGAGAGGTGAGGGAGAAAAAATATCTGTACATGAGATCTTTTTAACAACAAGAAACCCAAGTCCAATTCAATTTTCACCTCCAGCCATTTAAAACATTTAAAGAACAGTCTTATAGATACAGGAGTTCAAAGATAGCAGCAGACCCCAAAAATGGACTAAAACCAATGCCCAAAATCTTCCCAGTGGCATCATAAAAGCACATCAGATAAGGACAGACTCTACAAAATGGGACAGGAGAGTTGTAAATCCTGACCAAGAAGCTTCAGATTCACAGTTCAGCTGAGATCTCAGGGGAGAGGCTGGGTTTGGGAGGGGAGGGTGGATGGGAAGTCCCAATTTAAAAAGGAGGAGCAAATGGGCCTGAGCCGGTTCAATGGCTGTGGAGGGACTGGTACTGCTGCCTGCAGAGCAGAAGCAGGACAACGCGCCCAAATGCCGTCACGTTTCTGAGCCATACACTCCCAACCATGATTACTAGGAAAATGAAGGGTGGGGGAAAAGATACTATTATATACTGAAACTCACACTTTGACACTCTAACGAGTCAAAAAACCCATGGTTTTACCCCATTCTCTATTTTTCCAACCTCTAAAGGAGCTGCTGACAACCAGTGGTTACTAGACAGCCAGCAAGAAAGCAGCACCAAGGCTGGGGAGAAGTCACAGCCCCACTGAAGAAGAGGGCTGGTGGCAGAACATACAAGGTACTGGGAATTAGAGGCTAATCACTAATGATCACCATTTCTCGGGGAAGGAAGTAAAGTGTTCGCTCGATGTTTTTCACCATGACACAACAGCTCACATGGGTTTTGGCAGATTCAATCCAAACTTTGCCAAACAGGAAAACCACACCTAAAAGAGTAAGGGAAAACCATGAGAAAAGAAACATTTCAATTATATCATATTAAAGGGGCAATATAAAGGCTCACTGAATGTGTCCACACATTTAGAAATCATTAAAACAAAAACTTTCTACAAATTAAAATGACAAGCATTATATGCACATGTCCCTGAATCTAGTATCTTGCCTTTATGACACATTTTTTTACAGTAAATTTGTATCTGCTCCCCACTCCACAAGCATAGTTCGCTTACTCAGTACTTAAGCCATGTGACAATACCACACTAGTAAAACCTGTTAACCACTGAGAAAATGGGATAGAATGATTCTCTAACTTGGTGTGAACATTTTGCTAGAGACATCATACGTAAATACAGACTAACCCCACTTACTAGGAAGACATCCCAAGTCCGAGTAGACACACTTGGGGAACTACTAAGATACCCCAGGTTAGTGCAGAAACCCCTGGGGGAATTGCAAAGACATCCCAGGTCAGTGTAAACATAACTCAGAAATTACAGAGCTACCCGAGGTCAGTATGGGGAAAAAACTTCCCCAGAACTGGGACTACCCAGATTAAGAGAAACAAAAAAAGCAAACTATTCGCCAATGGATCTCCTATTTAAACCTCTTATAAAGTGTGAGAATACTAAATCGCTTTTTAGCACTTGTACTCACCAATAAAAATTAACATTCATGTATAACAATAACTCTGTATGGTACATCAATATTTTTCTACATGTAAAACTGCATTTGGAGAAAAACATAAGAGATGTCATATACCTTATTCCATATAATGATAAATATCTCATAATACAGTTCAACTATTATCTCCTATTTTACCCTTTCTACCTCATAGACAACTAAAAAATCTGGATAGGTAGTGCTCGTCTCATTCCTTGCTTTTCAATTTCTGTGTAACAAATGTTCTAGTAACCAAACCAGCAAACATGTCCCTTTTGAGATTCCTATGTAATATATACCACAAAGTAAAAACAAGCCTTTCTAGATAGATATCAAATCACTGTTCCTGAAAACTGGACATCAAGAAAGGGCTCCAGAGATCTGATAGTCAACCTAAGAGATGGCCACTGTGCAAAATCCGGAGCTCTGAGCATAATTAGACAGCAGTCATCAACACAGCCACTCAACACAGCCACTTGTCTGAGACACCAAGAAAATTCTGGCACATGCAAAGGCTACTGTTCACAAGGCCAATTACTCCAGTTTCAAAGATAGCTCATCAGTGCTTCCTTTTGTCACTCGTTCTAGTAGAAATAAGACCACCTAAAAATTTTCATTTCTGCAGATGATTAAAATTCTTAAAAGAGTTGTGTGATTATCAGCTGGGGTGGGGGAAAGAAGGGGAGAGGGAAGGGAGGACTGTGGGGAACGATTAAAAAAGAAAAAAAAAATCACAGGAGCTCAGAAAATTAAAAGTCCTACTCAAAACAGTTAGAGACGAAAAAACAAAATTCCATGCAAAGAAAAATAAAGACCCTAATATTGGATTCACAGATTCAAATAGCTCATTTTACAGTCAAACTAATATCACACTTCATGCACACATTTGACACTGTTTATGCCTCATTTGCCACAAAAAGATCATGGTAAACAAAGATTACATTTCCCCCAAAGTTACTAGCTGAAACCAGGTGCAGTCAGGATTATTCAACCTTGAAAAAGTCATAATGAAGACAGGATAGCTTCCCATATGCAAAGAGTAAGATTCTTTTCATAATTATGGAGCATTCAGCAACAACTGACTTACTTAGAATCTGTAAGAAAGTGAGACACAATAACAGGGTCTTTGGGAGTACTTCGTTTTTATTAGCAGCATTGATTTCACCAAGGCTCAGTGATCATTACCTGCTATCATGATGAAACTGTTCAACCCCCTGAGATTAAAGGACTTTTTTTTTTTACAAGCCATCCTTTTTAACCCGTTGGCATCAATCACAGAGGACATAGCTTAAGAAGCACCACGGAATGGCACAGTGGACTGAGGGTGAGAAGCCCAGAGCTCTGCCACTAAGAGCTGCCCACTTTATCTTTTGGAGCCTTAGCTTCCTCCTCTGTAACTAGACCAGATTGTCTGAGGATTATTCCAGCACAAGAAATTTCCTTTTACCATTGCATTTGGAAGATGGGCCAATAACAGACTACTACCTCTTTCAAATGCAAAATATATCCCAATAGTGGTTGGAAAGGCCTATCCTTGACTATGGTGACTATGGTAGCAACAGGAATTCGGTAAGGATACATACCATAAACTGGCTGCTTTTCCTAATACAGCTGTGCTTCAATGCCTCAATCTAAACCTCCAACACCGATTACTACAGCCAAGCACTAGCCTTTAGAAATTTCTGTGATGCCAGAATTGTTCTGTTATCTGTGCCATCCACAGATATGGTAGCTACTAGCCACATGTGGCTATTAAAGCATTCAGAATGGGGCTACTGGCTGAGAAACTGAATTTGAAATTTTACTTCATTTTATTTTCTTAAAGATTTTATTTACTTATTTGACAGACAGAGATCACAAGTAGGCAGAGAGGCAGGCAGAGAGAGGAGGGGAAGCAGGCTCCCTGCTGAGTGGAGACCCCCCAATGCAGGGCTCCATCCCAGGACCCTGAGATCATGATCTAAGCCGAAGGCAGAGGCTTAACCCACTGAGCCACCCAGGCACCCCAAATTTTATTTCACTTTAATTTAAATCTAAATTTAAAGAGCTACATGTAGACATATATGGTACCACAGTGGACAGTACAGCTCTAGACCCTGTCCTGCAAAACAATGTTTTGTTTTTTTTTTAAATAAGAGTATCAACCAGTAAACAAAAGGTAGAAAAAAATAAACTCATTTTTACACAGGACAGAACAAAGATTGTTGTTTCTTAAGGTTCTAATCCTTGGCAATTGACACTGTGCATTCTGATGTTTTGTACGTGGATTAACGTGGAGGGGGGGTGCAACACTCATCTCTGTTACCTATTCTTCCCCCACACCCTTGTAATAAGGCTTTACGAGGTAATTTCAATAAGAGCAGTGAATGCACTTCTGGCTCTCTGAAACCTTTCATGTGCATCATGCACAGGACTGTCAATCACTGTGTGGTTTATTTCAATGAACATTTATTAAATCCCTACTATGTGCGTGGCACTGTACTAGAAGCTGAAAAGAAAAGGTCCCAGCCATCCAGGAGTTAAATAAAAGGGTTTGGGACAAGAAAAATTCAGAATCAGATCTTTATAAAATAATATAACAAACACTATGATGATGGGAAAGGGTATGATGGGGTACCAGGGAAAGGGCCCTTAGGCCAGTCTGGAGGATTAGGAAAACTTCCCAGACATGACACACCTGGGCTGAGCCAAACACAAGGAGTAAAGGAACACAGTATCAAAAACAACAGGTACAGAGAACTATCTCTAGAACACAAAAGTCATACACAGCAGGTATCAGAAGCCTTGCTAAGGACTGTACATTGTAGGCAGTAAAAAACTCCAGCTACACAGGAGTTTTCTTTTTTTTTCTTTTTTTTTTTAAAACAAGGAAATGATGCGATCAGTGCTACCCATCTGAACAATCACTCTGGTTGCAATGGAGGGGATGACAGCTAAAAGATCCTTTAGGAAGCTGGTGCAATGGTTTCAGTAGGCAAGAAGGAATCAGAGGCAACTACAGAGAGAAGACAGCTTGTCTACTTTCGGAGGGGAAGACTAACAAGACTTGGTGAGGAGAATGAACGAAAGGGGCAGTCAAGGCTTACTCCCAATTTTCAGTTTTGAGGGAACTATTAGCCAGGACAGGGAATCAAATCCAGCACAGAGCAAATCCAGCAAAGGGATTAGCATTGGGAAGGGCAAGCCTACCACATCACACAACTCTAGCAAGCCCCACAGTGTCATTGTGCTCCAGGAAGCCTAAAACACATGAAACACATGTGAAAATGGTGTCCCCTTGAAGCCATAAAACAGGGCAGGCCAGGATTTCAGCAATTGATGGGAAATCCTTGCTCAGCCTCATGCAATCCCACTTACCATTCTACCTTCCACTGGTGAGTAGCAAAGAGGTAAACAAGGAGGTGAGAGGATCTAACCAAATTATCTTGTCACAGCTAAAGTAGATACCATTTCTAAGATGGCTCTTTCTTTACCTATGAAACTAAGACGTGGCAGTTTGCTACTCAAATGGCTGTGTATGTATTCCTGTGCATTTGATATGCTGAAGCCTATTAATGCTTCTGCCCCCTCCTTCACAGAGACAGTAACAACTTTCCAATTAGTCAATGCCTGATTATCTTTAAGGCAAATCTGGTCTTCAAGTCTGATGGTTAATACTTAACTCTTCTTACTCATTCACTTGCTATACTGATACTCTATTTTCACCATATGCAGCCTCTAGGAAACCACCTTGAAAAGTACAGTTGCAAAAAAAAAAAAAGAAAAGAAAAAGAAAAGTACAGTTGCATCTACCCTCATACCCAGACATGGATCTGAGTAAAGGCAACTCTATTTCAGGATATGTATGGTATATTAATCCAACATACTTTGGCATGCCCAGCCCTGCGGTGAACGGCTCAAGGACTACAAAAAGAAACCAGAGTGCCTCCTGGCTTTGAGTCAGAATTCACATTTTCAGTTCATTTGGAGGAGGATCTGGGAATCATCTGTGATTCCTCCTTCCTGTCAGCTCCCACATCAAGCCATCAACAGGTTCACATCAAAATCCACGTGAGATGCATTCACTCTTCTTCTCCACAGCCACCACTAGGCCAAGTAACTAGCATGCGGGCCCTGGACTGACTGATCTCCAGGGCTTCCCCACTAGCGCGGTTCCAGTCTCCACCCCCACCCAACCCCAAACACGCCATTCTCCACACAAACTGGAAGGCTCTTGTTAAACTGTAAACCCAACCATATGACCACCATCCCCTCCACCAGCACTTAAAATCCTCCACCACATGCCCCTCTGCTCTTAAAGATCTAAATTCCTCATTATGGCTTTCAAGGTCCTTCATTACCTGCCCTTTGCCTTTGTCTCCAGCTTCATTTTCTACCAATCTTGGCCCTTGACTGACTGTGCTACAACCACAGAGGCCTCCTTTCTCTCTCCAAGCCTCTGTGCTCACTGTTTCCTCAGGCTGATAGACTCTTTCCTCAGCTCAGCATGGGCTTCCAATCTCAGCCTAATGGTGGTCTCCTCAGACAGGCCTTCCTCAGCCATCCCCCTACTAAATGCCTTCACACCATTTATCAACTTACCTTAATTACTGCCCATTCCCCCCACAGCTCCCACCCCACTAGAATATAAGCTCCATTAGGACTGGGAACTTGTCCAGCTTGTTCATGCCATCTCAGTGCCTGGCACACAACAGGTGTTCAATGTGCTGAATAAAGAAACAGATTACTGACTGATTCCATTTAAAATAAAATGTATAACTACAACTTTATATACATCAAAGGTTAACTATAAGTACACATTCCAAAATCACATATAACTGGTTTACAGAAAAAAAAATGTTTAAGGATTGTTCATACCACAACTCCTCTCCACCTGGGCTGCTCGCATCCTTTACAACAAACGAGTGGTGCTTTCTTACAACACACGTACGTGAGGACAGAGTCTTTGTCAACTATAATAACTAAACCACTTAAGAGAAAGGCACTATTCTGTATTAAAGAGGTACATATGATTACCTGGTTGATTGTACTGATCTTCATAAGCATCCAGCCAATAAAACTGAAACACTTGCTCCTCATCTGTCCCTTTTACCAGTGGGAGGTGACTGGAATCCACTTGGACTTCCTGGGCTGAGAAACTGCTGTCATCTTCCTGATCAATGTCCCAACAAGAAACATCTGGGAGAAAACTTCCCCTGCAGAAATTACATTTTGAAAACCTTTCAAAATCCAATAGAATAATTTATAGTGCTACTTGCCAGAAACGTCATAAAATGCTCTTACAAGTAGGACGTGGTCCCTTTCCCAGGATCTGCCTCATGCTTCACCCCCTCTGCTGGCTCACTCTCTTGGTGCCAAGTCTTGACAGCCACAGGCTCCACATCCACTTCCTCAGCCTCCATGGGCTCATCAAAGTCACCGTCTTCAAAATCCATTGCTCCTGAGTCCTCCTTGTCATCTACACACAACGCTGGCACTGGCTCTCCTGTAGGCGTCATCACACATTCCCATCATGTACTGCTGCTGTGGAACACAAAGGCCTCCCCAGCACGGCGATAGGAGCCTACCCTTTCTCCCACACTGCATTTGCATTTCTCTTCCATCTCCAAACTGGATGTTTTTTAACTTTTACTGCTGTGGATTCAAATCTGTCACAACTGAACCTGCTATCATAATAGCTTCAAAATCATCTCCACTTCCTCCTTCACGGTGCCTCCATTTCTGACAGCAGTTTGCAACTACCCTTGTAGGTCTGCCTGACGTCAGACTTACCAGTAAATTCAGCACATTTAAGGGGAACTGAAGTTAATGGAGGCTCCTTCCTTAAGACAGGGGAAGCTGTTTTTCCTGAAGGAACTACCTGTAAATATTTTTAAATGTTCAGTCAGTTAGACCAGCATACCAAAAAAATATGCAACCATCCTACCCTGACCAGAGAAAATGACAGTTCCCACTTATACAACAATTTTATGTATTATTAACGTAACAGCTTCCATTATTTTACTGTTACCTACGTTTACAAAAAAATACTTGTTTCCAGGAAGAAAATTATTACATTTAGCACTGCTGTAATACCTATAATAAACACATACTAGTTACTAAAAATTTACTATGAAAAAACCAGGCACATGCTATTCTTGAAATACATGAAACTATATAATGAAACAGGAGGCCTAATTTAAAACAAAAATTCAAAAGCATTTCCCTCAAATAGAAAATCAACTAAGTTTTAAGCAATAATATAAATCAAGATTGAAGGCATTTCCACACACTTTACCTTGGGGGTGTGCACAGAGAAAGGATTCAGTAAAGCTCCAATGGATCTTTTTTTCTTTGGTATCATTACAGGTGGTGGAGATATCTGAGGTTTCTAGAGGGAGGAATAAGACATTCCCTGCCATGCTTGGCTTTCCACAGACAGAAAAAGTGCATTTCTTCCCCCATTAAGGCCCAATAAGCAAAGCATATTTTTTCCTTCCCTGCTCCCCCCGCAGATCTATGTTCATGTGCTGTAGTTACTATAGCAACAATACCACAGACTGACAAGAAAACCAGAATAGATATTAAGTCCACCTCTCACCAATTTTTTCTTTTTACAACTTAACATACTTTCCCCCTACCCTTCCAGGATATTGCATTTAAAAACTGTCAAGCTAGAGGGGCACCTGGGTGGTTCAGTGGGTTAAAGCCTCTGCCTTCAGCTCAGGTCATGATCCCAGGGTCCTGGGATCAAGCCCCGCATCAGACTCTGCTCAGTGGGGAGCGTGCTTCCCTTCCTCTCTCTCTGCCTGCCTCTCTGCCTACTTGTGATCTCTGTCTGTCAAATAAATAAATAAAAATCTTTTAAAAAATAAAAAATAAATAAAATAAAAACTGTCAAGCTAGAGCCACACGTGTTGGTGTTAGTTGGTTTAATCAAGGGTTACTTGGAAAGAAACATGCCCCTAAATCTGTTTAGTCCTCATGAAATAGCCCAAATGCAAATTCACAGAGCAGCTGAGCCTGTCTGAGTTCTCTCAGGGACAGCTCACTGACTCTTGTCCTTTACTCCCTCTCTGAATTCAAGATGAGGATCTCACAGCCGAATGTGCAGACTGACAGGTATCAATCTATTTCGGGACCATACACTGCAGCAACTGAACACAAGCAGTGGGCATTCCCAAGACTGACTCATGTATGTATTCGTACTATCTCAAACACATCCCCATGTAGCCCCCTCGACATAATTGCAGAACTTGTAACAGCTGGAAACTACTCACCTAAAGTGGTAAGAAAGCCAGTTTGGAGAGTTGTTTGGGAAAGGGGTTATTTTTTCTTTGTGGGGTTTTATTTTGGGTGTATACAGTGGTATTGTCATTGAATTTTTTTTGTTTTAAATTCTAGCAACAGTCTGTTCTATAAAATTACTGAATTATTTCTTCAGCCTATGACCCCTGCATATTTGACAACTCCCAGAGAATGACTTACCTCAGTGTTCAGATCTTGTAGAATGTCACCTAGCAGATCATCCTTGGACAAATCTACCACTTTCTGGAAATTATAAAGACAGGTAGAATGAGAAAACCCTGCATTTCATGTTTTCACCCAGACCATGTGTCTGTGAAACGAAGAACCCAACCAGTTAGTCCTTGCCTCTTCAGTCTTGAGTGCTCATCTACTGTTCACAGATCTTAACAATCACCTGTGTACATTTAATGCCTAAACCTAGAGCTCGCATCCTTTTTTACCCTCATTTCATGATCCTCCTGCTAGCAAATCAATGAAACAAACACACTGTCCATGCAGCTTTTCATTCACTTTTCTACCTCCAAGTTCCAAACAATGAGGTTCCTAAAATTCACCCGGAAATCTACATCTACTTTTGTGACTGAAATCACGAAAATACTACTGAAATAGCTAAGCTCAAATACATTGAGCACCTACTGTCTATACAATCAAATACTAAATTTACTTCTCAAAAGAAAAGACAAAATATCAGAAAATTACGAAACTCACATCTGCAGTCTTCTTCCCAGCACTAGCAATGAACATTGACTTGATATTGTTTGGTTTTGTCACCACAGCCTTCTTTACATTCCTCCTGTCTTTGGTACGTGCTTTATCATCTTTTCCTGTTGGAATATAACTGATTTATAAACATGCACCAGCAAAAATCAATATGGGAAACTAAAAGCCAAGTCACCTGCCCTGTGTACAGGAGAATGAGAAGAAAAACATGAAGAATTCAAAATACAAAATATGAGATTTTATACATGGTACACAGGAAAGAATTGTTAAAAACAGCTTAATTCCAGAAAACTTAGGCTAAATGTTATTATAAAAACTGATGACAGGGCTCCTGGCTGGCCCAGTCAGTGGAGAGTGCAACTCTGAATCTTGGGGTTGTAAGTTTGAGGCCCACGTTGCGTGTAAAGATATTAAAAATCTTTTAAAAACTGATGAAATACTAGTTAAATACCAGAATAAGTTATTAAGTGGGATTGTTTAATGGCTATCATTAGTGTGAATAAAAATCCTGTTAAAAGGTCGGGGGGGCAAATAAAAAAAAAAAAAAAAATCTAAAAAAAGGGACGCCTGGGTGGCTCAGTTGGTTGGACGACTGCCTTCGGCTCAGGTCATGATCCCGGAGTCCCGGGATCGAGTCCCACATCGGGCTCCCAGCTCCATGGGGAGTCTGCTTCTCCCTCTGACTTTCTCCTCGCTCATGCTCTCTCTCACTGTCTCTCTCTCAAATAAAAAAAAAAAAAAAAATCTAAAAAAAAAAAAAAAAAAGGTCGGGGGGGTTGTGTTTTTTTTTTAAAGATTTTATTTATTTATTTGACAGACAGATGACAAGTAGGCAGAGAGGCAAGCAGAGGGGGGGGGGGGAAGCAGGCTCCCTGCTGAGCAGAGAGCCCGACACAGGGCTCGATCCCAGGACCCTGGGACCATGACCTGAGCCGAAGGCAGAGGCTTTAACCCACTGAGCTACCCAGGTGCCCCGTGTCTTTTTTTTTCCAAGAGAAATAAAATGCTCAAGCTCATCTGGAACCAAGGGATTAGTGTAGCAGCCTTCATGAGATCATCTTTTTAGTGCTATCCTGAATCTGACAGGAAAACTAACTGTGAAGAAATAGGATTACCAGTAATGATGTATAGCATCCTAATTTCCATCTTATGAGGAACAGCAACTACACACACACAATATGTTGTCACAACACTAAATGGCACAGAGATATCCACTCAGTAAAGAACAACTTGTGCCACATGTTCTCTCTTATGGCCATGTGTAAATCACCTACAAACTCTTCTAATACTGTCAGTTTTACTCTCTCTTTCAGATTCATTCCAGAGAAGTCTCTTCCTCAAAAAGACCTAGAATGAATAGATCATATAGTGTGGTAGCAGCATAAGAATACTCACACCAGATGAAATAGAAAATCGAATCCAGAAAAAACTAAATTACTTATGGAATTTAGCACATAATAAAGGTGGCATCTCATATCACTGGGGAGAAGATGAACTTTTTAATAAGTAGTGTTGGCTACCATATGTAAAGAAGCCAGTATAAACACCAAATAAATCAAAGATCAAAATTTTTAAAATGAGAATATCCTAGACTTTAATAAAAAGGCAAGTTCCAGGATACCTGGGTGGCTCAGTCAGTTAAGCCTCTGACTCTTGATTTCAGCTCAGGTCATGATCTCAGGGCTGTAAGATCAACCTGGGCTGGGCATGGAACCTGCTCAAGATTCTCTCTCTCTCTGTCTGCCTCTCTCTCTACCCCCCATCTCTTAAAGAAAAAAAAGGCAGGGTGCCTGGGTGGCTCAGTGGGTTAAGCCGCTGCCTTTGGCTCAAGTCATGATCTCAGGGTCCTGGGATCAAGTCCCGTATCGGGCTCTCTGCTCAGCGGCAAGCCTGCTTCTCTCTCTCTCTCTCTCTCTCTCTCTGCCTGCTTCTCTGCCTACTTGTGATTTCTGTCAAATAAATAAATAAAATCTTAAAAAAAAGGCAAGTCCCTTTGTAACCTGGGTTTTGGGAAAGTCTGATTCAAAATCCATCTGTAAGGAAAAAAAACTGATAAATTCAATTACAACAGAAATAAATTTAAAGACAAAACATGAAAAAATATAATATATAATGTTTTACAGATAAAGGACCAATTTCTCTGATAAAAAAAAAAGTGCCCTGGATTTAAAAAGCCCCCAAACCCAAAAGGAATGTGCACAATAAACACGCACAAACAGTTCACATAAAAAATATATAAACAGCTATTACATTTTATGAAAAGATGCTCAACTTCATGTGTAAAAGAAACACAAATGAAAACCACACCGAGATATTATTTCTCGTGTATCAGAGTGGCAAAACTCCAAAAGCTTCACAATGCACTCTGTTGGTGAGACCATAGGAGTATAAATTGTTGGAAGATGGGAACTCAAATTGTTAATGGGAGTGTAAAATGGGACAACTGCTAGAGCAATAGTTCATAAAACTTCATGTGCGTTTTCCTCTCTGAGCCAGCAATTCTCCTTCTCGGAATTTTCTGAGGAAAGCACCATATGCACCAAGTTATTCAATGCAGAATTATTTGTAAAGGCAAATTACTGAGGGTTCCTGGGTGGCTCAGTCGGTTAAGCGTCTGCCTTCAGTTCTGGTCATGATCTCAGAGTCCTAGGATTGAATCCCGCATCGGGTTCCCTGCTCCGTGGGGGGGCCTGCCCCCCATCTCATGAATAAATTTTTAAAATGTAAAAATAAAAATAAAAGCAAATTACTGAAAATCTAATTGACAATTCAGTGAAGCCATTTGAATACACCATCATCATACATTTATACAGTAAAATACTATGCAACAATATAGAAACAAGTAAAAAAGAAAAAAGATCTCTATGTGCTAATATAGGATGATTTTCATGATAGCACGTTAAGTGAAAAAACACAAAGTACAAAAGCATCTATAGGAAAATATCGTTCATGTAAGGAAAAAAAAGTAAATAAAAATATATATACATAAACCCATTCCTGGGTAGATACTCCCAAGAACTGAAAACAGGGTGTTCAAACAAAAACTTGCACACAAATGTTTATAGCAGCACTATTTGCAATAACCAAAAAGTGGAAACATCCTAAATTCCACATGCAATGGAATATTATTCAGTCATAAGAAAGAATGAAGTACTAATACATGCTACAACATAAGGGAAACTTGAAAACATCACACTAAACTAAAGGAGCCACACACAAATGGTCACACAGTTTATCATTCCATTTACCTGAAATATTCAAAATAGGCAAATCCATAGAGATGGAAAGACTAGTAGTTGCCAGGGGATCTGGGAAGGAAGACTAGGGAGTGACTGTTAAATGGATATGGGTTTCCACTCAGAGGGTTAAAAATGTTCTGGAACTAGATAATGGTCATGGCTACAAGCACTGTTAATGTATTAAACGTCACTTATGAGAAATTATATGTATATTTAACCACAATAAAAAGGGCATTTTTTCATGTGCCTAAAAATGTAAAAGTCTATAGGACATTTGTGAGAAATATAAGACAAGAGAAATAATTTTTTTATTGCGATCATTTGGCAGTTTGGAAACAGAATATAATTAATGGCCAAAATGTTTAGAATACAAAATACAGGTCCTAATACAGGGTATCAAGAGAGAAGGTCAACAGAGGTTTGAATAACAAGGAAGGTTTCATAAGCAGGCTTTAATTTCACCACTGTAGGTTAGTAGTATCTAGAGAGAAGGACAAAAAGAAACATAAAAAATAGGAGTCAACATTTGATGTAGAATCTTCCACAATTTTAGCGCTTCTGTTTATTTGTTTTATTCATTTTTCTACTAATTTTTTTCATTAGGACTTAGTTAATATTTTCTGTCTCTATTTGAAGCATGTCAGGGATTGGATCCACACCACAGTTACCCTTTTATACATCTGTGCAAAACGTTACAATTTCTTCCAAGTCCTTAAAGTGGACTGCAAAATTCCACTTCCCTTCCTAAGATCTTGAGACCTTATTGGGCTCTCCTAAGGGACACTGAAACAGTGGAGACTTGTAGATGAATGGTGCCAAAGCATGGGATAAAGACTTCCGAGACTAGCTCTCCTCCAGAATGCCAAGTCATTCTCTTTACTGATGTATTACTGTGAAGAAATAACAAGATGACAACGGAAAGAAAAAGATGGTTCATTTACTCAACAAAAGCTGCATACTTTCTCTGCACTTGCTACTGTGATTGGCAGAGAGATGACTAGGACATGGGTCCTTTTCTCAAGAACTTCCCTGTCCAGTGCAACCTAATTTACAGCCAACAAAAGTCATGTCCAGGTAAGCGACAGGACTCACTCAAAATGATACAGGCAATGAACAACATAACCAGAACTTGAACAAAGGCCTCCTCAGTTCAGGGAGATAAAAAAGCACACAGGCTCCTTTCGTTCTCTTCTTCATGGACATACAAAAACTAAGAATACACAATTAACCACACTGTGACTAAACAGTACCACTGTGTAGAGTTCCTACATTACAAAGGTTGGCAGAAACAAGAAAGTCCACATATCCTAACTTAATTAATGAATGAATAAATAACATCCCACATTTTAAAAATAAACACATCCTTACTTTTTTGGAAAAGGAAAAACATGAAGGATAATCAGAAACTATTAAAAATGGTTACCTATGGAAATGTGTAGAAATGAAGAAGTAGAAAGCACAGGGGTGAGAGTAAGATTTACCTGAGTCTATCTCAATATCGTTATGATTTTGAAATCGTATGTCTTACAATATTCAAAAAATAAAATTAAAATGGAAGGATTTTTTAAAACCCTAATATGAATACAAACACAAATGAATCTAGAGTAAACTGACAGAATAGCATACAGAAAAAAATGACTTCATAACACCTTCCAAACACAATTCTCTTAACTATACACCTTTACCAAGATATAAACCAAATAAAACCATAAAGAAATTATAAACTTCATTTAGAAAGGTTGTCAGTAGACATGCTGATTTAATAGCTCTAAAATTTCTAAAATTATTTTGTGTCTATTTTAGAGCACAAGGGTTTTCACTAGGGTTGAAGGCAGATACAAATATAGAACTGGTGAAGGTGAAGAAGAGCCCTGTGGTGTTGTATTTGAATTGAATATATCAGCATGAAACCATAACATATATATAAAATCTCTGAATTCTGTTCACCAAAAGGGCCTAGAAACCATTACACCTTAGTAGCAAGGAGTACCATCCATTCCCTAGATCTGAACACCATTCTACACTAAAGAGGGAGAAATGGTTAGATTCCAGGTCTGGGACAAGACAAATACAAGGAGAACCTGGAACATCTTGTTGGCTCAGGAAGCAAGGAAATGCTCAAAGACTGATGGGGTCATGTTAAAAAGGACGCAGGAGGCAGCTCAAGGAGGCTCCCAGTGCCAAATGTGGGATAATATGAACATCACGAAAAAAAATAATGATAATGGATACTGAACTGTAACAACAATTTCAGTCCATGAGTTTGAAGTGATCGCTTTAAAAAGGACAGAAACAAATCATCAATAGATGCTGAAAGCACTGGGGGAGAGCTAATGGGGAAAACAGACACAGGGTCTCAAATTATCACCCCATATTTACATTAATACAAAGGTGGAAAGGTAGCTTTATAAGCAAAAGACCTCACAAACATCATTTTATTTTATTTTTTTAAAGATTTTATTTATTTATTTATTTGACAGACAGAGATCACAAGTAGACAGAGAGAGAGCGGGGAGGAAGCAGGCTCCCTGCAGAGGAGAGAGCCCGATGTGGGGCTCGATCCCAGGACCGTGAGATCATGACCTGAGCCGAAGGCAGAGGCTTTAACCCACTGAGCCACCCAGGCGCCCCACAAACATCATTTTAATCAAGAGATCAAACCTAGTATCACCAAGAATGGGACAAAGTGATCTTATGTACCCCTGATAAGATCAGTGGGAAAGACACAACTTCATCTACATTTTATTTTTGACTCTATGCACCAAGAAGCAATCAGGCAAATCCCAGACCACGGGACATTCAATAAAACCAGCCTAGTCCCTTCAAAGATGTCAAGGTCATGAAAGACAAAAAAAAAAGAAAGAAAGAAAGAAACCAGAGTGGGAGGAGGAGAGGGATGGCACTGCTCTGCACTGGGAGACATAAAAACTAAAGTGGACTCTGCATCTGAAAAAACAGAGATCATTTCGGGCTAACTGGGGAAATCTTATTATGATCCAACATATTAGATGATACTATGAGAAGGGTACTGTGGCTAAGTAGACAAGCGTCCCCATTCTTAGGAGGTCACTGATGAAGCACGTAGACGTTAAGTGTCATGGTGTTTACAACTTACTTTCAGAAAGTTGACCAAAATAAAGTCTGTTTGTATACAGTTGGGAAGGGGGAAGAGGAAGGAAGTAAACAAACATAGAAAATGTTAAAAATCCACAATTCGGGGCCCAGACTTTCTGAAAAGGGCAAGATAACACGGATTTTAGGTTTTTGTGGCCACACACATCTATCTGGTGCTATGGAGCGTTCTTCTTTGCACTTGTCTCTTTTTTTTAAACACTTTCTTAAAATGAAAAAAACATTCTGAACTGGGGAGCTACACAGTAACAGGCATGATTTCCTTCTGAGGTAATGAAAATGTGAGATGATTGTGGTGATGGCCGCCCAGCTCTGGGACTACAGTAAACACCACTGAAATGTACACTTTAAATAGGTGCATTATATGGGATGTGAATTTCAGCTCAATAAAGCTGTTTAAAAAGAAATGGCTGTGAGTGGGCCTTAGTTTGCTGACCCACAATCTACACTTGGTGGTAATAAGGAAGCAAATCAAAACAACAAATACTGAAGATAATTTCCCCTTCACATTTTACAGAAACTAAATCAGGCTTGTTTACTCAAAAAAAATGTTTTGCCAATGATTATGTAGCTAAGAAAATCTGACGCATTCATTTATATCATTTTAAATTTTGATTAGACAAAGCCAGTTGATTACTAAACCTTATTATTGCACTGTACTACTATCAAAGAGCTAAAATTTTAAGTACCTCAATTCAGGATGAATTAAAAGACATCACTTATTGCTGCAGCTCTCAAAATCAGCAAGTCTAAAATGACCACAGAACTGAAATTCGAAAATAAGTAAAAGAGCAAACTCTTCGGATGACTGAGACATGAAACTTCATTTCATGGTGGTGTTTTTGCTTTTTACATATAATTTTTGATATAACTATGCTTCTCTCAATATTACAACATATTCTACACCTAAAAACAATTGTGGTAGGTTCTTTTCTCCTTTAAAGGATACTTGTGTCAAAGGACCAAGTCATCTCAAATTTTGCTTCTTGTAATCTCAAAATGGCACTCTCTTGAAAACAAAATATAGGTACCTTTCTCATGAAAATCAAGGGCATCGTCTTCAAGGTCATCATCAAAAATCTCTCGGCCATCTTCCACATAGCCGATACCATCTGCAGGAACAAAATTTGAAACTGAGATCAAGTTTCTAATAGTGGCCAGTAATATTTTAGCCACAAAAAAAAAAAAACAACAAAAAACACCTTTTATACCTACTCAGATGTTCTGTGCTATTTTTAAATGTAGCAGAATCCCGTTTAGACTGGCGTCAGATGAAACATATTATCTACAGAGCAGGTTTATTGTGTCAAAACCAAAGGATATATGCTATGCCCATCTAGGTGAGCTAGGGAAATGATTTAGTACAATAGGATACTTAACAGTAGTTTTACTCTACCAAAAGAATAAAAAGCAAAAGAATCAAGATCACAGAGGCCCAGAAAATCACCTCAGTCTATGAGGCAAAAATGGCAATATGGCTAAGCCCAACGACAGAAACAGAAACATAAATATGGTCACAGGTGCAGTCCACATCACTCCCTGTGGTCAGGTGGTCACCAGACACATGCCCAACAAGTCACACCCAACAAGCGAGAACCAGTGAATTTTCGACATGGGTTCTAAGAACATCAGGAACAGCCTCTATCTGGTGCTTTCAACTGTCCAAGTTACTCTTCACACATATAGCTTCATATAATCCTCACAGCCATTCCGTGCAATAGACAGTTTTCTTATCCCCATATCACCTGAGGATACACCATGGGCACATGGTTCCGCCCATTTCCTACAGAGTCATATCCAGGAGGATTTACCTGAGGTATGTGCCTGGATTCTCCAAAATACCCCTAAATAAACTCTCTATTATACTCCCTCCACACTCTCAAATAATTTATTTGAGAAAAATCCGAACCAACAATAACATCTTAACAGTGTTTTACATCTGCTAATGCAAAGCAGCAACTCTATCACATAAGACTCGATGAAGAGCAACTAAAACAATGCCTAGGAGGCAATTTCTTCCCACATACCATCATCCACGATCCAGTCGTCATCCTGGCGAGCCTGAACCAGCTTCGAATACTGTTCTTCATCAACTTCTTCATAAACACTTGTGAAGTCCTCAACCTGCCATCATACAAGTTTGAGAAAGCTTCAAATGGAGTGAAAGTATTAAACAATTCTGATGAAAAATTGTCAAATTGAAACTGGAATGGCAGCCTGAAGGAGCAGCTGCAACCAAATCATGAGTTCTGACATTCAACACCACTACCAGGTTTTCCTTAAATAGACATCAATGAACTTAGTATTCCTTTTAGGTGGGTGTTAACACAAGATATTAAATGATTCCATTAGCATAATACACTTGTCACACCATCAATTACTCATCTACTTCATAAAAAACAAACTGAATTATAGCCAATTCTTTGTTAGCAGCTTTGGGGATTATTCACTTGTAACTTCTAGACTGGTTTCTCCTGTACTTAGCAAACCCATAAGGCATGCCAACTCCCTCCTGCCTAGCTGACGTTGCCCTGCAAACTGACAATTTTAGTAACTATTCAACCAACCAAAGGTAGTTCAAAAGCTAACCTTCCCCCACCTATCCTCCTCCTCAAATCAGCAAAACAAGCCTACTCTCTATTCTACAGGTACACTAGAAATAATTCTTAAGTGATCCCTATTTGCATTACCACTGATCCCCTAACATTCTCAGATCTTGAGACTGGAAATACTGAAATGCTGTGCTGTGTGAAGGGCAAGTTCTCCACTAACATGAACTGCCCAACTGCCAGAGGGCCAGAAGGCCAGTACCTCCTGGCACAAACAGAGCAGCTCACTTAAGCACAGTTTAAGCAACAAGCAGAACAGAGGCACACCATCTCAGCTGCCATCGACTTGCCCAGATGAAAATTTGGTGGGGTACTTAGAAGAATTCATAGAAAGCAATTAAAAATTGCCCCCTTCTCTCCAGAGTTCAAGTGGTTGGGAGTCCAGGAAACGACTAACTCCTGCTGGAGAGCTAAGTCTCCAAGAAAAGTCGCTGGCCATGGAGCTTTGAGAGCCCAATGGGCAGAGCCGACTGGACTCCTGCCACAGCTCTGAGACAATTACAGGATCAGGCTTAGTTTTCGCCTGCTGTTTAATCTGTCCTATAGGGATCACTGGCAAATGTCGATCTGGCCTTTTACCATCTGATAATAGAAACTACCTGCCCTACCAAATTAAGCTATTGACAACACAAACACAAACTAGTCGGATTATATTACTATACTGACCAATTTTCTTTTGGCAGGGGAAGGGAACTAACTGGCAGGACTATTTGTGTTGTTTGAAGTCCATTAGGCATACTTTGTGTCTTATTTAAGCAACTCACTTCTATACTATCAAAAAGATATCAGAAAACTACCTTAGAAAAACATTTTGAGTAAAGTCCTTTTGCTTCTATGTCAAAACACCCGTGCTACTGCTCGGCATGAACTCTTAGAGCCATGCAATTAACATGAGTGATTAGAGGGAAATCAGTCACATTGTGTCAACATCTGAAATGCCCCCACACAACTCCTTTATAGAAGTACCTACATTAAAAATGTTTTACTCCTGCTTTACTGTAATCCTTTTAGCAACCCTTTGTGATCTGATTGACTCACTTAAATGAATGATGCCAAATGACAAAAATCCTCTTCCACTTTCTTAATTGCACAACACAGTATAGGCTGTGGTTAACTATGCATATCCTAAAACCAGACTGCCTGTGCTCAAATCAGGGCTCTGCCACTGTGACCTCAGGATTCTCACCTATGAAATGCTATTAATCACAGTATCTAACTTTTCATGATTATTGGAAAAATTAAACGAACACATTTGTAAAAAGCACTTAGAACAGTGTTTGCTAAAAAAGTATAGTAGCAGTTGCTATTATCATTTTTTTTGCTCGTATTAATTAATCACTTTCAAGCCCTGAGGCAGCTGAGATAATCAGGGAGCACTCAAGGTGAAGCCACACAATGCTGTGTTAGATGGTAACCACCCTGGTTTTTTGTTTTTGTTTTTGCTCTTTACCTGCAGGCCATCAACAGTAGTTAGAGGAAAACAGTGAAAAAAGCATCACATTCAATCTTACACACAGAAGCCCCAAGTCCTCACCCAATGCAGACAAAATTAGGAACAATTTTCTCCAAGGAGAAGTAATGCTTAGCTAGACTACTCAACACTTTAAGTAAAAAGTAAAGTAAAAGCATTTCTAAGTTCCCCCACCAAAGCTATGAAACTTACCAAAGCTGCAGTGTGCTATTTTTTAAAAGAGTTTATCTGAGAGAAAGTGAGAGAGAGAGGGAGAGAGCGAGCGCACATGTGCATGTGTAGGGGAAGAGGCAGAGGGAGGAAGAAGAGGCAGACACCCTGCTGAGCAGGGAGCCCAATGGAGGACTAGATCCCAGGACCCCAGGATCGTGACCTGAGCCAAAGGCAGGCGCTTAACCAACTGAGTTACCCAGGGGCCCCATGCAGTGGGCTTAATAAGGAAAAAAATGTACAGCTACTTTCATTTCTGAATTTAACAGCATCTGTAAAGCATCTTACAAGAACTTAAAGAGCCAAGTAGTTGAAACAACGGATAAATCTACTTCATGCCCATGCTTGTTTAATAGTAAGAAATTACTCTTACAAGCACAAAATATATGCGTATTTCCTGACAAAGGGGACATAAAATACCTATAGGCTATGAATTAGATGAAGCACAGAAGGAAAAAAAAACAAATAAAATCATTACTTACTTCATATTTATACTTCTCACCAGCTTTAGCCCTTTTCAGTCTTTCTAGAGCTTCTTGCTGCCCCCTCTTTGATTTCTTTTCTCGCCTGGATCGAGAAGCTACAAAACTCCCTGAATCTGACACAGCTGAAAAAAAGCCAAGTTTACACGGGATGTTACAAAATTTCAGCCATCTTCCCTCAGTAACAAGAATATTTCCAGTCAACAGTAACACAATTTTAATACAGAAATGGGTACTTTTCATACTGTAGATGGTTCCTGAAGGTCATGTTCATACAGCTCCTGTGACTCCAGAAATTTTCTCTAGGACCCAGTTAAAACAAATGAAGCAACTTATTTTTTTCCCTCCAAAAAGAGGAAAATTCCAAATTCAACTGGTATCTTATGGAGACAGTAGAGAAAGGAGATCAGCCATTAGTCCATAACCTTTCATTAGAAATGACAGGCCATAAGTAGAGTTATAAAAGAAGGATAATTCATTTTGTATTCTATTAATCAAAATTTGAAAGGCTTTAAAGGAGCATCTGCTCTTTGCAAAGTACTAAGCTCTCTAAAAGACAAAAAGATAAGCAAGACACGGTTTCTGTACTCACAGAACTTATTATCTAAAAAGGGAGATAAGTAGCAACTCAAAAACAGTCTTTAGAATACATGCCCTGACAGAGGTTCAAATAAAGTATTTGAAATTTCAAAGCAGGGATAAAATGGGGGGTTGGGAGAATTTAAAAAGATGGCTCTGAAGAGATTCTTGATTCCTTCACTGATTTCCAGGACTCATTCACTTGGTTAGGAAACAGAATAGTAGTATAGAATTACAAAGATTAAAATGTATTTTGTCAAAAATTACTGGAATACCAGAAGCCCTCAGTGTTCATTTATTCAACTTTTGAATTACTCATGCTCAGTGTTCACTTATTCAACTTTTGAATTACTCATTACAAACTGACCACTGAAGTGTTCATCCACAAAACTAATCTCTCATTTACCAGCTACTGAATAACCAAGTCAAGCAAGACAGTGCCGCCTGCCAGCTGTGCATTTTGGCTTAACACGACTGCCATCTATGCCTGTGAAATCGGCTTTTTATTGTACTTGGTGCTAATTATTTCATAAAAAGGAGGCACAGAAAAAAAGTATTGGTAAGATGCATCCTGAAAGCTCCAAACCCTCTGGAACATTCATAACAACATTCAACTCATGGACAAAACAACTGACTGAAAAAGAAGATGCAATTTAAAGAACATGTACCAAATGCTGACAATAAACTGCTGGAAACTAAATCTTACAGGTGAAGCACAATTAGAAATCTTTTTTTTCCCCTAGCTTTCTGGAAATGGAATCTCTATTGAACATCTCAGTCTATTGTTTGACTTTCACATTTGACTTTTAAATCCATTTTCAGAAAGGCATTAAGTAAAAATTAAGGAATGCAGGTACTTAATGATGACAGCCACAAAATCTTGGGCGTGGCTCAAACGATTTAAAAAAATCATGAGCAGGTCTACGTGAAAAGGTTCTGGAGATTACTGGGCATGCCCACTCAGAGTGAAAAGTTGCCCTTGGTATATTCCCTTAAAGATGCCGCCTTCCCTTTAATAGATGCTCCTGACAAAATGTATAGTTCTTCAAATGGACTTACTTCACAGGCAGTAATGTGCCATCCTACAGGGTTTGGGGTACATTATAGGAAGGAAGAGTTGACTATCCTCAAGGGGGCTCACAGTCAAATAAAGCAAAAGGACCTAAGACTCCCACCATTATACTGACATGGTGTCACAGAAGACGTAAGGACAAGGTACTGAGGAACGCAGAAAATGCTGCTAATTTTGTCTGAGAAATCAGGGAAGGCTTCACAGGGGAGGTACCCAACACAGACCCAGAGAGAGCATTAGAATTTCACCATCAGAGTATAGGGGGAAAGGGAGCAGAAGCACAGAAAAAAAAATCATAAGCCAAATTACAAAGGGAAAAAACTGCAAGGTGTATTCAGAAACTGAAAGAAAGGGGTGCCTTGCTGGCTCAGTCAGTAGAGCATGTGACTTTCAACCTCAGGGTGATGAGTTCAAGCCCCCTGTCTGGCATGGTCCTTAAGTACTTAAAAAAAAAAAAAGGCAGCAGAAACTGAAAGAAAGTCAGCATGGAAAGTGAATCTTACATGAGAGTGCAGAGTTGGAGAACAGGAAACTAGGGAGGAGCAGCACAATCTGGCTCCACCACTTACTGGGTGACATGAGACCACCAGTTAACATCTCCAAGCTGCAGTGACCAGATGCCTTGTTGTTGGCTTCTAAGCCGCCTGGCACCTGAAACTGTTTGTGAAATCCCCTCATTATAAACGTTGTTGGGACTCAGAGCACAAGTCCCACTACCCAAGTTGAAAAAGCAGACACTCTTTCCCACACACCCTTGCAGCTAGGGCATGAACATATAAAATATGTTATTAATAATTCTATCAGTTAGGAACAGCTGCTCAGACTTTAAATCAGAAGCTCGTGTCAGAAGGAAAGTGGGTGGGCTAATGGAAGATTCTAGAAGTAGCAACAGCTGCAAGATGATTACCTGGGGTCACAGAGCCAACAATGTCCCAAGGTACAAACTATAACATCAAGTGCTTGCCCATGGCTGGCAATGACCTCCTCACTAGACCAGTTTTGTGGCACAACTTTACCGTTCCTGACGAAGCAGCCCTGCAAATGATTCTCCAGTCCACCTGGAGTTTCTGTGAACAATACAATATCCTTCTAATACTTAAAATAGATTGCTTCTTTCTATTTATATCAGCTAGAGTTGTCTCCTGTAGCTTTCACCTCTAAGGACTTTGACTAATGAAGACCCTCAGGGTCTTCATCTGTGAAATGGGGATAATCATGTCTGCTTCATAAAGTTGTTAAGGATTAAATGAAGATCCCAAGCTTACTTTGTACTCAGCAATACAGAATTCCATTTAATGTATGTGTATGTGTGTACAGATGCAGAGGAGAGACAGACACAGGCACACACACATCCCACACACACCACACCCAGCAGTACCATGGTCTAGCTTCTGGAAAGCAAAAATAAAGCTAAGTGTTTTTCTCAGAGAAGCCTCAATATAGCACCACACATAATTAGCTCTTTACCATCTCAACTCCGGGAAGACAGAAACCATGTCCAGCTTACCTACCATTTTAACAGTGTAACACCAGAGCCTGGCAAAATGCCTCTACCTAGTAGGTACATAATAAATATTTGCTGAATGAACAAATGAATAAACCACTGTACCTGCTTTTTTAAATCATTAATCTCTCCCTGATCCCTTTTCATATGTAATAATAGCTAGTTATAGACCTTTCAACTTTTCACTTTCATTGTCAAGGTACCCCACCTTCTAATACCAAAGAGAAAAAAGGCCTAGAATTTCCTTCTTGGAATGTGTCCAACGCTTCATGTAGGTACGTTAACAAAAAAAAAAAAAGCAAGAAAAAAATCCATTTCAAAAGTTTAAATATTTGGTTCAAAATTACCATCTGAAGTACCCCCAACCTCCCCAAAAGCAGACAGACACTAGCCTGCAACAGTCTTTCAGGTAACAATTTTTCTGCTCCAAGGGAAAAATTCCAGTCACAAGTCTCCAGCAACTACTTAATCAACACCATGCCTTAAGAGGGGTCTCAAGATTACACAGTATCCTCCAAAGAGTGATTTCTTGATGTTCACAGATGACGTACAGTTTTTCGGGTGAAGACAGACACCCTAGCGGCAAATCACTGATGGAGGGCTGCAAAGACTGTTCACATGCTCACATCCTACATCTCATTTGTAATCCAGGCTAGACGACTCTCCAAAACAAATTGTCTTAAAAACGAAAGGCTAGAACAAACTGATATCTGTGATTCACAACTAGGTGAATGCTAAGGAAGCTGATTAGAAAGCAAGTTCTCGTTAATGGAGATGTATCTGAGTGACAGGACATGTACCTTGAGCTAAGAAAGTGAAGAGTCTGATTTTAAGTCAGAAGTTCACTGAAGTTAAGTCATACTTTGGTTGAACACAGTTCAAAAATCAGAAATCAGACAAAGCCATTTACATTTTTGTATTCTATTTTTGGAAATAAAAGATTACCACTGAAAACGGATTCATATACACGGCATCCGGAACACTGCTGAGCTGATGCAATTTTTTTTTTTAAACTTCACCAAGGATGACTAGATTGTGATCACTATTTCTATGCAGCACTTGAAGAACTTTCCATACAATTTGAAAGAAAAAAATTGTTAATGCATGAAGTAGAAACCCATTACTTAAAAAGACAAAACGCATTTGTATCTTCTGGTGACAGCCCTAAGACCTTTCTTTCCTGCTGAGTTACCATGTATAACAATTTCCCTGGGAGTTTCTGTAGAAAGGGCGCACATCCGTTCCGTCCTAGCCCTCAAGCAGATACTTGGGGACAGAGTTCCTAGATACTTTGAACCAAGACTGCGCTCCACCGGGGCCACTCTGATGAAGGTGTGCCCAGCACGTGGAACGCAGGCACCAAAAGCAATAAAAAGAAAATGCAGACTAGTGCTGAGACCAGGAGTGACACAGGCCCTGCAAGGGACGCGCTCTGATTTGCCAGGAACAAACGGCCCTGCGAGGAAGCCGCACCCGACACCACATGGGTCCCAGCCGGGGACAACCGAGGTCCGCGTCCAAAAGGACCCGTCAGGGGACCCGGACGTGCGCCTCCCTAAGAAAAAATAAAAAGGATCTCTCCAGAGCCCTCACCACCCGCAATCATGCCACGGTCCCCGTACTCCTAACCCAGTACCCCGCGCAGGGGTCGTCCCTCACCGCTCGACCCCGTGTCGCAGTCTTCGCCGTGCACCGGCGCCATGGTCCTGAAGTATCCCGATTCCGCGCCAACCAGCCCGAAACTGGCGCGGGGGCCGAGACAGGCGCCAGGCTGAAAGCCAATCAGAGGCTCGGGAGGCTGCGGACTTCCGCCCGGAAGGCCACTGACGTGCCGCGCCGCGCCGCGCCCCGCCCCCGGCCTTCCCGCGGACGCGAGTTTGGCGCCCAGTTATGACCCCTGAGGGAAAAAGCTCGAGTGACTGCGAGGCGGAGGAGAGGGGGGAAAAAGAAGCGGCCGGGCGCTGGAAAGGAGTCGCCAGGAAGCTCGCTGCGCAGGCGCACCCATGCGGATGGGAAAAGATTTGGGCGCGTTGAAGTAGGGGCTTTCTGGTTCTGAGAGTTGATTTTCGGAGAAAAAAGACGCGGGCGGGCAGTAGGATGGGCGTGGTTGGATCCGTTTCCCCAGAGCCTTGGGAAAGCGACTGCCTCCTGCTGCGCGCTCTGAGTCTTGCCTGATAACTTTTTTTCTTAGCGTGTGAACACAGTCGCTGTGTGATTTATAGATACGTGCGTGTATACAGATATATTTTTTTCTCTAAAGAGAATATAAAGTTAATTCAGTCTATCCTCCAGCATGGTTGATCAATGTTTGTTTCTTAATTTCTGATTTTTTAGAAATTTTTCTTTCAGCTTTATACCATTACTTAATATCATGTTAAGATATGATCCATACGTTGTGATACGTAACACATAGTAATTCACACTTAAATCCACTCATTGTTTAAAGCACTAGTACAGATTTATGCCTGTACTTTCCTTTAAAAAAATTGTTGCAACTTTGATAGTATAAAGTTTATTCCTAACAGGAGAGAACTGTTTTGGCTAGGCATCAATAAGAACCAAATCTTTCCTTTATAACTTCACGTCTGATCATTTTCCACATTCCACCTTAAAACTCTAAGCACTTCAAGTCTTGTTTCTCTTTCATGACCCACATAGTTCCAGGAGCCAGGACCTGAGAACACGTTTATATTATGATAGCACTCTGGCCCTGCACATTCAAGTCAAAACTCCCAAGTCAGCACAGTGGGATAGTTATTCCTACACCTGGAGGTCTGTCAATATCTTAAATATAACGAGAGTGTTTTCAACTGACACAGATGCCACTAAGTCAGAATGCATCGCAACACCAACTCAGATTTCTCAGATTCTGAGAAATCCCATGGGATTTTTCTCAGAATCCCACGATGACTGTGCCCACTTTTCCTCCACCACCAGGCAGGAAGGGAAGTGTATCGAAGGGAAAGGTGGTGATTCTCAAGAGCTGATTGTTACATATTCAGGAATTTCATAATCTGCTTGTTAAGCCACTGGTAGCTCGAAATCAGCCATGGTGGGAATATTTACACCATGGAAATGGGCAAATGCTACAAATCAAAAATCAGTCCCCCTCTTTTTTTTTGAGAGAGAGACAGTTTGCCAGCAAATCACCAAGTAGCCATAACAGATTGTAGTTAAAAATCTTACTTTTGTGAATTTTCACAAAAACACAAGACTGTTGCTAGATCATCTTCCAAGTCCTCAGAAGTGGCCCATAAGCAAGCAAGAGGCCTCAAAGCTTGTTTCATTAACTTCATTGTAAATCTACCTCTGTTATCTAGTCAGTCAAACAAAAATCACAATTTGTCTTAAACTTGCTCTCTCCTGTCCAACACAGGAGGAGTTTTACACTGGTTTTCCAAATTGAAAAGTTTTTTTTTTTTAATTTATCATCATTACTGAAAACAAAGAAAAACAGTTAGTCTTAATTACTAACTTGAAATACTATTTCCCCACAGACCTGTACCCCTGGGGATAAAAATATGTTATATGTTTATAAAAAAAAAGAAAAAGAAAAAGAAATACTATTTCCCACCATTTCTATCTTTTTATCTATATCTCTCTATATAAACTCATCCATTACTGGTGAACTGGTTATTTTTTGCCAGTGGCAGTGTAAATAGGTACAACCTTCTGGAAAATAATATTGCAAGATGTGGCAAGTACAATAGCATGCTTTTTATCTTTCAAACCATGATTTCTGCGGGTAAAAGTTAATAGAAAATAACTCACAAGAAACAGAATAAATGCAAATATGTCAATGGTTACCATTTTCCATCAGCAAAAAGTTGAGACATAAATGTCCACATCAGAGAAGCGGTTTAATGATGTGACATCAAAAAGAAAATAATTGGGAAAACTTAAAACATGGAAAGTGTGTATGATATTTTATAAAGTGAAAAGAGCAGAAGGAAAAGTGATATGCACAGTTAATTACAACTGTATATCAAATACCAATGCTATGTAAAATGGAATATATCTTCTCCAGATGATAGCATTATAGGATTCTTTTTTTTACAATTTGTTCTCTTTAATATTATGCAGGAGGCATTACTACATCAGGTAGAGACAGATTTCAGGTTTGATTCTTAGACTACTACTTTTAAGTGACCATCAACTGGTTACTGAAACCTCAATTTCTTCCTCCGTAAAACAAAGGTGCTTATACTTACCTAAGAAGCAATTGTGAAATTTAATTGAAATAATACACGTACAGTGCCATTAAGATGCCAGCATCAAGGCATTCAACAAATAGCTATTATACTTATTGTATTTTTACAATAAGCCTTACCATTACGCTGATCTTACGAATAACTATATGAGGTAGGTATGTCAAGAAATTGCTGTTTGCCTACTGCTACATTCATTCTCCCTTTCTTCTTGTAATGAAATGTGGACTTTTAGCTCGGCACCATTGATAGAGGAAAAGACTGTGCTTCCCAATCTCTTTTGCACCAAGGTTTAGCTAAATGACTAATTTCTGGCACGCAAGACTTAAGCAGTACTGTTGGGGGAAGACTTACAGGAAAGCTGCTTAATGAAATCGGTTACATCCGGAAGGGGACTCTCTTTTTTTGCCCGTTTGCCCTTTCTCTCTTTCTTCCTGCAACGCAGATGTGATGGCAGAACCTCCAACAGCCATCTTGGATTATGAGATAACTCTGAGGATGAAAGCCACAGTTGGTGGAACAGAATGATAAGAGCCTTGGTCTAACATCTGTGAAGCCACCATACCAGCCCAAGCTATTTGCCTACTCTCCAAGCAAACTTTCTTTCATAAACTAGACTCTTTTTTTTTTCCTAGGGGGAAGACAACCAGCCAACCAAATTCTCTTCTGACAAGTATACTGGCAGGTGTATTTCTCATCGCCATCAATAAATTAGGACTCTGGCCAATAGCAGTGTGAGTTTGCTAACATGAACCTGGTTATCTTTGGGTTTATTAATAAAATCAGCTTTGTGGCCATGCGGAGTTTCTAAACACAACTAGGTAATGCTGTTTAAGCGCAGCTATGGAGAGAGGATTGTCTGCCAGCTGAAAATCGGCAAGAAAATGAGTGGCGCTGTGTGTGCCCTTGACATCCCACAAGGATTCCAGGTGATGTGAGTAAATATGCAACTCCTCTGGGCATCTATCTAGTGGTGCCCAAGCTCAAATCATTTTCCCAGGCACATAAGTGGCAAAGCCCCTCTCTTGACTTACTTGCTTATTAAAAGGCATAGAGGAACACCTGGGTTGCTCAGTGTGTTGAGCATCCGACTCCTCGTTTAGGATCAGAATGTGATCTCAGGGGTCGGGGGTTGTGGATTCGGCCCCACTGTCAGGCTCTGAGCTCAGCAGGAAGTCTGCTTGAGATGCTCTCTCTCCCTCTCCCTCTGCCCCTCCCTCCCAGACCCCTCACCCCCCCCCCCCCACCCCCACCCCCACTGCGCAGGTATAGGGGCCATGGGGCAGGCCCATTCCTGGAGCACAGCTCATTATGTGTATCTCTGCTTTTGGACAAACCACAGCTCTCTGGAATGGCATCTGCAGACCCTGTGCCTGTGAGCTGTTTCTGGGTGGTGGGAATCTCATGGTGTTTGTTGAGTCCTTTGCTTAAAGGCAATGATTCTGGGGCTGAGACTAATTGAATCAAAGGACAATGGATGAAATACTTTAGCTTAACTATAAACTCACCTCACTTCTAAAGCAAGAATGAATGACACCCAGCAAATAAGGGATTGGAGAGATAAAATGAAATTGGTCTAACATTGCCCAAGGGAGAGAGCCACTGGAGAGAAAGGCAGACTATTCCCTACTTAGATAGGGTCCTTAATAGATACAAACAAACACACACATGCCTTGGGTTTCCTTGTTGCTGGGGATAAATAACTACTTAGATAATCCATGACAGATATTTGAAATTACTTTGGCCACCCAGTATCTGACAGGTTTGGGCTATTTCTCACATTCTGAGTTTTCGAGGAGGCAGACCCACCTACCACTTTAGAAGCTTTTGTCCCAGTAACTCTGGAGCAACCACATGAACACTCTTATGCTTGGCCATTTCCACAAAGGATTTTGAATTTGGAACTAGTGTCACAAAAAACAGGGGCATTCTTTTCGTGTCAGTGGTAGCAACTTCCCACTTCCTGCTGGGCAGCAATGGCGGAAGTATGATGTTTACCAGTGACTTCAGCTTCAGAGCCCTGCTATGTGCCTACCTCAGGGATTCCTAGGGATTCCTAAGATCTGTAAGATCTTCTCACAACCTCTTCTTGCTTCCCTCCTCCATCCCTCCTCCCCTATCTTCTCCACTTCCTTTTTTCTCAAATCCGCCAAAGTCTGTTTCTGTTGCTTGTAACTAATATCTCCAGCTGACACAGCATTCTGTTTCTTTGCTTTATTCTCATTCCAAAGTCACCAAGCAACCTCCTGGTTAGTATTTCAGATACTTAAATACTGGGACAGAGGAATGCTCAACGGAAGATGAGAGCATTCCAGTGTTTAGAAAATGATGATCCTCACTATCAGTTAATAGGTGTTTATTTTACTTAGAATGTGTCCCTTGTGAGTTTAAGGAAAGCAGGTCTGTCCCCAAGAAACTATCTCTGAGTGTTCTAAGGAAATCAAGTCAGTACTCACAACACTAAGAACAAAACCCTTTCAGGCAAAACAATTATAACAGAAGGTGGTTTTCTAGATCAATTAAATGGGGGAGGGACATAATCCTGAGAGGAATTAATGAACAAAAATGTTCAATTCTCTTCTCTCTCCCCAC